AAAAATGGCCCAACCTCTTTCTACTCCCCTGCCGTAAATCTGTGCCACGCCACCCCCGGACTGTCTCCCCCCTCGTGTTCATCGTCTCCCTCACGCCATGGTTGCAGCGTGTTCAGGCTGCACAGATGTCGCATCGTGGGTCGTCCATGCGGGCAATTCCACGGCTTGTCGATGGTCCCCATGTTTGCCACAACCTTCTCCATCTGCCTCGTGGATAATGTCTTGCCGATCATAATGCTCGATCGACACGCTCGCATCGCAAACATCTTTCTCACTTTGCTAGGTCGAGGAACATCAGACTCCCCTCGGCCAGGCGCCTCGCCCAATAGCTGAATGAGTTCTTCTAGGTCTTTCATGCCAAAGACAACCTCTCTGCTCAGTGGCAGGCTGACGAGGTTGCATCGTTGTCCAACCATTCGTTCTCCGCTGGTGTCTACTTCCACCAGAAATCCGTTCTTCTCCAGAGCCTCGTTATTCTCCAGCACAATTTCCTCTTCCACTGCCGTCAAGTCGAGTATCACTGGTCGGACGAGCCTTTGGTTGCCCACAACTGTCTCGGCCTGCAGTCTTTCAAAGTTGTATTTCTCGTCTGACGCGTGCTGGTCGATGATGAACAGTTCGTCCTGGGTTGATTGGGTCTCGTCATCGGACTCCACCTTAGCGGGTCGCACGGCTAGAATGAAGCCGAGATTGAATTGTCCTACGATCCTCATCCTGGCGAAATCCGGCTTCGACACGGTTAGGGAAAGTCTTGCCTCTGGGTCTTGGGCAGCACCATCGTCAAGTCCCGCAACTCGCGAAGACCGATCCTTGATATCGACATCCGCCATTTCAGCGTACTCGCGCATTTGTCGACATACAGCGGAGACGGAGAAGCCGACCGTCGCTAATAAATTCGTTGTCGACTCCTTCGCCCGTCCTCCGGCCAGAGCTTTTGTCGCCCGTTTCAAGTTTTCTTTTGTCGGAAGAGCTGAGCTTGCTTCAGCTGCCAGGATAAGCTCGGCGACTTTAGCTTCTTCAATCCTTTTCTTCTCATCGTCATCAATGTAGTCCGCATCGGATTCGTCCTCCATATCTCGTGTCGCGGTTGACTCATCCTCTGCTGCACCGTCGCCATCTCCGAGACTTCGCTCGTCCGAATTTGATTCGTCCTCAGGATGAAATTTCTCGTCCTCCTCGCTATCACCTTCCACGGGTTCCGCATCGACGTGTGTGACGGCGTCGGCTTCCTCCTCATCAGTTATATCAGACTCTTGAGCACCAAACCTGCGCAATTTTTGAGAGAATTGCAAAGTCGCTGGGTTTTTGGCGCACCTTTTCGTTTTGTTCGCTATATCCAGGCCGCCAGCCAAGTCACTCCTCGCCTGTGATTTAGGAAACTGACTACCTAGTATGGTTGTGATGGTCCGGTCTCCGATCGTGACAGTGGCGACCTCTGCCGGGATCCTCTTTGGCCTCATGCGATCAAAGGCGTTATGTACGATTCCTTTATCCTGGTCAGTCCTCGATTGCGCAACGGTTTCGATCTCTGGCATTTGCTGTACAATGTCTCGGCGGATAATGAACTGATCACGAGATCTAGGTTCGGCTTCAGCCATTCTCGCATTGAAATCACTGACATGGATCTTGACTGGATCGAAATGGGAAGGGCCTCCCACATCCTCGACAAACCGATTTTTATCCGGAGGTTCAACAATTTTCTGGGCATCACCGTCCCCCTCAGATCCTTCTCTTGCTCTTTCTTGTTCCGTCATCTCTTGCACCACTTCTCCCGGCAGTCTTCCATTCGGTTTCTGTATTTGGGGTTGCAAATTTTCATCCACCCCGGTGTCTGCTCTCGTGCTGGAAAAATTTCGGAAGTGATCTTGAAACAATGGCGTTTGGGGATCGACATCCTCCTCGCCGTATCTGTCATCCTCTTGCTCATCGTCGGGGACACTTGTGGCGTCTGATAACGATGTTTGCCGACTTGCAGTCTCGGGCTTAGTTGAGGATGGCTGCCGCTGAAAGCTCAGTTTCTGAAAAGCAGGCAGCTTGGGCGTCGCAAACTGAGACTGTGGGACGGTTTGGTCTTGCTGATCAAACATGTCATTTAATGCAGTCTTCAGATTCTCAATGAGCGATGCCGAGTCATGGATCAATATTGTTCGTTTGTCAGGCGATACGTTCACGTCGTATGCGTTGGTATCCATTTGAAGATCCGCGAATATAAAGGGCGACTGGGAAACGTTGAACGCCTTGTAGACCTCATTGATGGCTTTTGCAATCTGAGGCAGACCACACGGTCTTCCATTGACAAAAAACATTTGTCGATCAGGCGTCTGCCGGCCCTCCCCGAATACAGGCTTTGAGATATGGCCCTTGACACTAATGTTGGTATGGTTTTCTTTTCGGGCCTTTTGTGTCAATGTGGTCTGATAATCCAGCTCTAGATCTAAAGCGACCAGCGCGCTTAAGGTCTTAGCGCCGTAGACATTCGCAATATTCTCCCGGGTTGTAGCATTGCCTTTCGTAGAGAAGACCGTCATGCTTTTGCCCTTAGGCATGGCATTCTTGACCGTGAATTTGACATTGACGCCAATACAAGCATATGCCTGCAGCAAGCTCAGGACTTTGCCATACTCTCTTTTGATATTCTTGGTCAACTCTTTACGTCGCACAGGCAGATTCTCAAACAGATTTTCGACGGTGGCGATGGTGCCTTTCTGGGCAGCAACGACCGTGACAGACTTGAGCTTGCCCAAAGAATCAAAATCGAGCCGTTTACCCTTAGGCGCCTCATCCGCCTGTGCGGTCACAATTGAGAATTTGGAGAGAGCACAGAGTGAGGAGAGTGCCTCGCCCCGAAAACCGAAGGTCTGGAGACTAGAAAGGTCATCAAAGCTGGTGAGTTTGGAAGTGTAGTGCTTCAAGGCGATATTGTCGTAATTGGCCGGCGCAATGCCGGAGCCATTATCCTGTACTTCAATTGAGTCCAAGCCGTGGTTTTTGAAGCGGATGTCCACAGCAGTGGCACCCGCATCGAGGCTGTTCTCAACTAGTTCTTTGGCCACAGAACAAAGATCAACGATGACTTGACCAGATTGGATCTGGTGAACCGATTTGGCCTCGATGGCCCTGATGGTGGCCATCCCAGGCCATGTTGCTCCGGAGGGGTGACAGAGGAGGACTTGGACTGGGAAATACCACCGTCTCTCACCCAAACAGAATGAGACAACGATCGCGAACGACGATGTTTGGTTGGAACGCAAAGGTGAAATCAGGCTGAAGCTAATTCAGTGGAGGATTGATGTCGGAGCTAAGTTTGCCAAGGCGAGTCCCCCTTTAGGACGAGAGTGTTGCCGCCCTTGTACGTAGATTTTCTAACCTATAAGGGCATGGCCATCTAGACCACGGCCCGCCAAACATCCCTATAGATCCTGTCTGGTCCACCCTCGATCTCCCCGATCTCCCCGTGTTTCCAGTCTTTTATCAATAACTTCGGGGCTCTCTACTCCTTCCGCGCCACCGGATTCTTCGGATTTTTACCATGTCGACGCTAAAGCGACAATGTCGTTGAAGCAACGTCTTTATCCTGAGAGGCCCATTTTTAAGACAAATTTAATTATCCGATTGCCTTCCGACTTTGTCGAAACCACCATACGCTATTTCCATGCGTGGAGCAGAGCTCGAGCAGACGAATCGTCCTGACACACTAACATCTACGAGCAGCAATGGCGAGCACGGACAGAAAAGTACCATATCGAAGCGCAGGCAGCCAAAAAGTCATGCTGGTACACTGAAGTCTGTTGGGGGTTGCGGCTCGTTGACGCACCAGCTTTCTGGCACGATATGAAGTGAAAAGATCGCTGACGTATGCATCCGATGTCAGGCTGCAACACCTGCAGAGCTAGGCGTGTGAAATGCGATGGTAAGTGCCAGCTTCATAGAAGGCGAATGTGCTTCCCACAAGAGCTGTTCGTCGCACGTGAGACTGTTTCGTTTCATCTGTGCGAACTTCCATTCTTCATCCATTATTTTGATTGTTGCACCCACGAATATGCGAACAAATCTGCTGATGGCTTCTAGAATCCAAATCTTCCTGTTCGCAATGCACGGACCGAGGCGTCGAATGCGGCGGATATCTCAGGGATCTCGAGTGGAAGTTGGTGGGAGAGCAGCCCAAGGAACGCAGACGGCCAGCGAGTATGCTTGCTCTTCTTTTGGCACTTCCAATGCAAAAATCTGGTCTCATCGGCCCATGACACTGACAAACTCCAGAGAAACGATCTCATGGCTCGGAGGCGGTGTCCATTGAAGGAATATCTCGCCCATTCTACAAGGATGCTACTCCAGTCGACCAGACTACAACACCCCCTCCGCAATCTGAGACAAATCTCACGGATGGAATGGCTACGGCTATTAATAACGCGCCATCGGCACCGTCTCAGCAAGAGCGTATTTGGCCCTCGTTTCCACATGGCTAGTTATTCGACTTGACGGATGTTGATTTCGATGTCAACTATTTCGTTGACGATGGTAGTATCAGTTTCAATGTGCCTACCGACTTGGGTTCCCTCGCTAATACCTCACCAAGCCACCTTTTGGAAGACGATAGAACTCATGTGATCTCGTCGATAAATGCAAAAAATACCGATTTACAAAAGGAAAAGTCGCCAAATTTGTCCGACCTGATTATTTCACCAAATTACACGCTACAGTATTTTCAGGAGATTGGGAATGAACGAAATAGCGCACTCCAGTTATCGGAGACGTTGCAGAGCGCGACTGCTTCTGCGCTTGGCCAACCAAGCCAGAGAGCTGATAATCCTGAAAACCTCGATGTCCTTCACAAGGAGCCCCCGCCACGATCGGACACTCCGGAGACGGTCAAGCAACTTTTCGACAATCATCTTTGTAATGTTCTTTCCATCAAGGATGATCGAACCACGAATCCATGGCGAATTTGTGTGTGGCCGTTGGCTGACAGGTGTCCAGAGCTTTAGCATGCTCTTGCAGCGATGACATACTTATACATGAGCAATTCACAACCCCAATTCCACGCAGCCGGCTGGAGGAACTTCCACACCAGCCTGCAGGCTTTCGCACAGGGTGAAGATAGAAGAAGAATTACTCTTGAAGCCTCCCTGGCTGCTAGATTAGCTCTTGCCTTTGCGGAAGCGTGGGACGGCCAACGAACTTCTCCTGGTACCCTGCATATTAGAATTGCTGGAAGGCTTGTTCGAGACGCCCTCGACAAACATCGGACTACGAGGCTAACAGGGAACGAGCTGTACCGCCTGAACTTTCTGGCACGCACCTGGATGTATAAGGATGTCATGATTCGCTTGACAACCTCAGATGATGGCGAATCTGTCGATCTGGAGACTATGACAGCTTGTACACAGCTTTATCCTTTGCCAGTGGAACAGCAGATCGATCCACTTCTTGGTTGTGCTACCACGCTGTTCCCGTTGATTGGACGTCTGACCGACATCATTAAGTCTGTTCGACGAAGAACCGAAAAACATAACTCCCCATCCATTATCTCCAAAGGCGCGGAACTATGGATGGCGATCGAGGGTTGGAGTCCTTCTTGTGATCCACAGCGGTCAGAAGGTCTTAGTACGCCTCACATCTCCGATGTCACACAGACGGCTGATCCACATCTCTGGGCAGCGCCGTTGCTACTTCGGCAGGCTGTACCAGAACTCCCATGGGCTCATTTGATCTGGGAACTCGCAGGGGAAGTTTCAATCTACCTTGCAACTAAGCCCGTCACATCTCGAACAATGATCATACAGACATTCCCTCTCATGGCCATGAGCGGTGAGGCTTTTGATCAAGAAGATCGCAACTGGGTATGCGAGAGGTGGGATTCCATATCCAGGCGCATGCCACTTGCGAGACTGGACAAGTGCGAGAGAGTTACAAAGGGGGTCTGGCGGAGGAGGGATGTATTTGAAGCACAATCCGGAACTTGCCCCAGCTGTGGCGCTTACCGACTGACTAGCTCGTCAGGAATCAGTCCTATCATGGATACGGCTACTATCTTTATGGATACCGCGGACGTATCTGTTGCATCATCATCGAAGAAGTCCGAGGAAGGAAGCAGGCGCTGCCAATGCAGGATCGCGGGGGCAACAAGAATCACTGCGCCGCCAGCGTCCAAGTTTCCAGACTCTTTGGCTTTCAAAAAGGGAGTGGACAACATCAGTAGGGCAGGCAATCTGCATTACACAGTGAGAGGGGATTTGCATAGGTTGGAAGTCATGAAAGATTGGAACTGAGAAGGTGAGTTATTTCTGAGCTTTCTCCGATCCACTAATTCATGTATATGTGTGTGATTGTAAAACTGACAGTTCTACAGTCGTGCTCGGGTGAAGACTATATCCCAATATTGTGATTGGATGAGGTGTTACAATGTCTCACAATGCGAATTGTCTATATTGTACCATTGGAGACATAATCGTCTCGAGGCATTTGGAAGGGTGGTAAATTGGGCATGGGTACAGGTAGGTCAATTCGTTTGGTGCCCCGAGTGACTCGATAGGTGTGATCAACGATTCACAATTCCACAAGCATTGAATACTATGAATATATTCCCCCCGTCGCCATGGGCTAGTCTCTACGACCACTGTCACCATAGATCTTGTGACTAGAACTGCTTCGTGGAAGTTGTCGCAGTTTTGCATCTCGCTACTATGCGCGGGAGCCACACTGCATCTCCGAGACCTGGCGACGCTCATTCTTCGTCTGTTTTCCCATTTCCTGACGCGGACCGTTGCCAGGAACGAGATCCATACACCTTCCCACAGACCCCGAGGCGGGTCTCGGGCGTCTTCATAAGCGTCAATGGCAGGCTTGTCCCACACCAGATCTGCCGCTGTAGGATGCACGAATCTGGTCCGCTTCAGGAGCTTCCAGCCGAGAAAGAAGACTGCAGAGGCGAATATCATGGTGTAGTAAGTGAAGAAGCAAGTGGTCTGCCCGCCAAATTTCGAAACCCACGATAGGCATAAACGCAGCACGGTCTGGTTGAGTGGCACGTGAGCCCAAACGCCCTTACCTCGTACATTCCTTGCTATTAATATTAAAGCGGCCATCAGGGGTTTCCCCCTTTTGGACGAGGCTGGGAGTCAAGGCTCGAGCCTTGCTTGGCCTTGTTGAGTGGCACGTGAGCTCCGAACAAGTCCTTCCCCACCTCTTCAACGCCAAGCATGACGTCAATTGGTCGATCTGTGCAAGGCGGCGAATTTCGATGTTCGAGATCTTTGATGGCGAAAACAAGAGTCAACTTGCCCCCGTCTTCGTCACAGAAAACGATAGAGATCCCCATGCTAGAGCTGAAGTCCTCGCTTTGGATGAAATAACACTACCTCTCCAATGTTTCAAGACTTACCCGTCGAGGTTATCCAGCAGATTGTCGGATTTTTGCCTACCGTTTCAGCGATCGTCAACCTCTCCCTCACAAACCGCAAGATCCACTCGGTTGTTTCAGCAGACGACTATGGTGTCTTTCGAAAGTTTGTCCAAAGATGCTTTCCAACAATCAAATCGCCTCCATATTGGAAGGATGTCGCGCGCACCTTGACATCGCGGTCGCGAGCCTGGGACCGCCGAGCATTCATTGCTGAAGAATGCTGCCCGCCCCCCGACGACGGCGGCTACCCACCCCAAACCACCACTGGTTTTTCAATTGGTTACCGACCGGTCATTGACAGCTATGAGGCGTGGCTGGCAGGGTCATGGGCAGACCGAAAAGAAGTGCTCGCGTGGGGAGCAGCGGGGAGACTACGCCTTCGAACTATTGAAAACGGCGTGACAACTTGGAGCTCGTTCAGAGTCCCAGATGATCACAGACAAGAACTAGATATTCTAGATGTCAGGATCTTGCGGCCCCATCAACACGAAAACTCAGGTGGCGAAATGATTGTCCTGCAAAGAGCAAATCAAGAAGTCATCAGTATCGAGAGTTCATCCCAGCCCGACGCATTTACGCAGAAGTCTCGCTATACAGACCTGCCAGATGAATTCACCTGTATGGATATCAGTCAGAGCACCGAGCCTATCCTTGCAGCTTGTGGAGACCATCGCATCAACCTGTACCCGGTGAACAGCCCAGACAAAGCTGTGCGACCCGCCAGCTCCACTCAGATGGAAGAGAGACAAAACATTCGATCACGCATGCGGTGTGTCAAGTTTCTGTCTAAAAGCATAGTCGCCATCGCCAACCAATTCCTTGAGGGCCGAGGGTGCGCCCCAATCCGCATCTACAACATTCACCCTGCTGGCGTTTCCCCAACACCAATTGCTGAATCAATGCCCTTCACTGAATCTAGTCAACTATGGATGGGCCGGCATAGCTCCAGTGTTATTGTCGGGCTAGATGACGTAGGAACAAGCGGAGGCCGTCCTCAACAGCTGTTCTTGTCCGGCTGGACTGATGGGACCGCCCGGCTCTACGACATTAGAACCCCTCAAAGATCAGTCTCGGAATACGTGGATCCTGTGGATATCGGCCAGATTATCTCCCTCCTACCCATTGGCCACGAACGCTTCTTAGCCGGCAGCAGTCACAACGGTTGCTTGAAGACTTTCGATTTCCGTATGCCGGGAGCTAGAGCGTACTCGTATCTGGATGCGCGCCCAGACCATTCTGCAGACCGTCTCAAGAGCCCGACGCCACAACGAGATATCAACATCTTCCTCACACCCACGGTTAACATTAGTGAACGACTCTGGGAACCACTGTCACGTCACCCTCGCAGACGCTCTCAACGCTACCGGAGCTGTGTCTATTCCTTGTCAAGCCCCTCACCAAGCTCCCCTACGGTCTATGCCGGGATAGGGAACCACGTGTTACAACTTGACTTCATTTCTACTGACGACTTTCGCAATGGCTACAGAGTGTCAGGCCTCGATCATCCCAGGCACCATATTCCCCCGTCCGCATGGGACAAGATCACTCGGACGCAAGTGTTGAACTTTTCATGCTATGAAAGGCCTAGAGAAGGCAGAGAAAGCACGGATCCTCTGCTTCTGAGGAAACAAACTGACCTGATTGACGAATTGGCGAATCACAATATAGTGAGCGACGGGGAGAGGGAAGATGGATGGGACGAACGATGGCGACTGAATACCAAAGACAATGGGTATAGGGACCCAGACTGGCGCCGTGCTAGGTGACAGTCGTCCAGATTGGGGAATAGACCTCTTAGAGGCCAAAAATGCGATGGAGCTGGATGGATCGGGTACCGGATATCAAAGGCACCAAAGGCGGCTGTCGTTGCATCTTGATGGCGGTGGCGGTTGGGTCTCTCCTCAGTGGTCATTCTGCAAAAGCTCGTGCAAAGAAGCAATCCACCCGGTTGCCCGCCCAAAGCCTGCGGACACTAAGACGTGATCACTAGCGGCGCAAAAATAATGTCCGGTTGATCGTCTCAGGAGATATCGGCATGTTGTGCCTCTCCCCAACAATCGATACATTTTCTATGTAATCATGCCCTTTGTGTTTCTGACATGAAAGGAGTATGTGATCAGCGTAGTGGACACAGATTCTGGACGTCATGTCACCGCAAGAAGTGCTCTATTTGGCCGACAACGTAATGGAATATCTATCCAGGCCACCGCCCTGCATCCAAATAATGCTGCAAGTGAACCAGTTGTGGCCAACCAGCGTCAAGATCTTGTAAAGTCCGATCCTCAGTGAAAGATTCGTGGTCGTACGGATAGTACATAACCGAACCTGAAAGCTGAATTAGGCCATTCCAAGCCTTTCTTGAGAGGAACGACTGGTCAAAACCAACAATCCGTATCACATTGTCACCTTCACAGACGTCCCCGCGGGCGAATCGCGCAACCTTTGAAGGGGCAGCCATTGGAGAGGAATTTAAAGTATATCAGGACCAAGTTGTACATGGTTTCATCTGTTGAGGATGGAGCCGTGGTACCGAGACCCGAATGTTTATTCATCCCTGATAGCATCCGCGAACTGATAGAAAGCCTTTTCAGGTCCAGGCTATCGTCTAAAGAAAGACAGCATATATTCATAGTCGTCGTTCAGAGCTCGATCAAACAAGAGTGGAGCCATCCAATGATCGGTCTGTATGTCCCGGCGTCATTGATTGCGTTGTCAGATGCTCCTGTCACGAGCCCACCGTTGTCCCCAAGTACTCTACGCCCTCCACCCGAATCGGGTGGACGGTATAGAAAGAAAAGGATAAGGCAAAGAATGGTTGAAGCACAAGGCTATCGGTTAACGCTACCTTACCCTTTTCACGTGACAGAAAGAGGGGAAGCTATAAGAGTCTTCTCTCACCCGAATCGGCTGAGAGAGAACTCTTCCTTTTTCTTAAGCGTAGAGTCGTTGTCAATAGGACTACGTGAATAGAACAAGGCATTCAGCTACTCCAATTCCTTTGTACCTACTGCGTTGCATAGGTCCCTGATAGCTCCAATGATGCTTCCCGAAATTGGCAAACGGTGCTGAAAGACTATTACTTTGTCGGTACAAAGGCCCCGTTGTTTTGTACCAGCTGAGCATCGATGTCCTCCGAAGTCGAGCTCAACCAGTGACTGGCTGGAAAGACGTCTACTTTGAACAAATGCTTGATGAAGTTTCCAAATCGCAAAACATCTTCCTCTGGAATGTCGCATCCGGTGAGTACATCTTTGGACAGCTGTTTGGGCGTTCTCCCGTGATCCACGATGATTTCGTTGTTGCCTGACTGTAACCCGTACGACAGCCAGAAGGGCATATATATATCTTGTCTCAGATGTCTGAACCATCCCGGGCCCGATAATCGATCAAAATCTGGGGAGCAATTCTGCCGGAGCAGAGGTTCGTCGGTTGGTCCGTTTCCTGCAGATATGATACATTTGTGGATGAGTGAAATGATTTCGATATCGTATCCATTCATCAGTCACATATGCTGGCAGTTCTTGCGACAAGGACAAACCGCCCGACTTCATCAGTTTCGACAAGTTCAAGAAATATATTCAACCAGTTCTAGTCGGTCTCCACCCCAGCATTCAATATGAGGGCATCGCGGGCAAGGAGGAACTCCTGGATCACCCACATCCTAGACCTGTATGTACTGCTTGCGCATTCCTCGCTGATGAGTCTAGTTGATTCGCTCGGATCGTTGACCAAAGCAAATGCGGGATAGATCCCATCATAGCAATTCGGTTGCTCCGTTCCACTAAATCAGTTTGATTAATGCAAATCATTACAATGTGAGTGACGGGTTGCACACGCAGCTCTCTCACGACGATGCTGACGCAGTTGGAGGATCAAAGGGTGAGGAAAGGACTGAAACCGAGCGAACGTAACATTCGGAAGGGCAATGAGATGACCAAATAAAAAATGTTGTAAGCGGTAAATCTGGGCATGGCTGATCTTGTTGTATAGGTGGCGATGAGTTCTTGGGTGTCCATATGCAAGGCGTTAGACTAGGAATGGCACTTGCGATCCCACATAATAATTCCCTTCTCCGTGCCTGCTTGGTGCTTTTTGATGGATCTTAACGGCCGGCCCCCATAACGTAGTGTGATCTTAATCATGATATATCGAAGTCTCTCGTAGGTGAACCAGGGGTTATGCGCAATAAATTCGAACAAAGAAAAGAGACACTGCTTAGACCAACAATGGGAAATATCTGCCCGTGCATTAAGATCCACCAATTGAGGCTTGCTCCCTTTCATCTAGTCTCATTTTCAAATTGGCGTTGTAAGACTCAATTCTCTTTTTCTCGGCGTCTTGAGCGATGGTTTTTTGGACTCCACTCAAACAGTCCTCTCTTTGTCTCTAAGGTGAGTCTCGTATACGGCGACAACCTTGAGCGCTGCGTAAAAGTCTGCATCGGCGGTCGAATACGGTGGAAGGGCGCGCAAAGTAGACTGCGTAGACGAGACGTCCGTCTTGCTCCTTGCACGACGACCGGTCCTGAATATGCTCAAGAGTTTAGCTCGGACAATAGTGCGGCCACATTTAGGTTGTAAAACATGGATTTCTCTAGGGACTGAGAAAAGGATGCCCGATTCCTGTTAATGGCACCAATCTCATCGATAAGTTACCTGCCAAGGAAGATATCAGCAGTCAACTCTTCTAGAATTTATAATCTCACTATTCGGGATTCTTTCGGGGCCGAATATGGAGAAAAGGAAGGGTAGAAGGAGGCGTTAACGGGGGCCTTCGATCTGTCAGCTAAGCGTATAATATTGAGGTCCTCTATCCTTATCGAGCTGGTGCCGGAGAGTCTGGAAGCTGCTGAAGAAGATATTAGATTTAAGTCTGAGCCTGTGTCGGCACTATCCCTGACCATCTTAATTGTTGATAAAGCATCTGAAGTGACGTGTAGGACGGTGGCTGTTTCGAGACAAAAGCGTAACAAGGGGTGCAGAATCTTCACAAATTCGGACACTGAATAGGACCAAGCCTCGCATCCTCGCTTCGGGGTGCTTCCCAACAAGGCAGTCGAATTGGCCCACTGACTCGACGGGCTCGCCACTTGCCAGTAGGAATTTAGCCGCCTTGTTCCGATCCGATTAGTAGTCTAGCTTCATTAATTCTGCCATCGAAATGAGGTTACAATTAGCTCCTGTATCTATGGTCGTTGTAAGGGTATGGGTCTCCGCGTGGTGAATGGATGTCAAACCTCACAGCTCCATATGAGTATGACAGAGTCTTAGGACTGTGCCGTCTTATCTCGCCATCATCGTCGAGAATATCAATCCCCAAAAGCGTCAGCACGCGAAGACTTTCAAACACGAAGAATTGACCTGTGAAGTGGAGCTGACTGTCAGTGCCGCTGCAGGAACACTTCCCTCGCACCGTGGCCACGGAAGAAATGACTTTGCCGGCGGGGAGACGGAATGGCGCTCGCACGTCTCTGTTAAAGGAAAGGTCCAGACCAAGCTCAATAGCCTTTCCAAGTTCCGCGCAGCTCTTATCCACGCTCGTGTCCTTCAGGACACCAAGAAATTGATCTTCGACAAGCAGGCAAGTGGTATTCTGTCTCGTAATGGGGATAGCGACAACTTCGTAGGGAAGCATGGATACCAAAACGATGGCATCGTCTTGAGTTGATCTCTGGTATATCTTGCTTCGGTCTGACTTCGTTGGCCTAGATAGCACATGCCGCTGTCCAACTGAGTATGGTATGATTATATATCATGGACTGGATATTTTCAGCCATATCCTACTGTAACAGAGCACTTCAGGGTTCTGCGTGCACGTGCAACAACGCACAGAGGCCTGTCCAGCAGATCGGGAAGCGAGAACGCGTTTCTGGTTGATACTGACGAGACAACACCACCACCAACACCACCCAAAGGGGCAGCAGCTAGGGCTGCGAGCGCCTAGCACGGCGACGGCATTGAGAAGGAGGAAAGCGCCGATGAAAGCCTCAAGAATAGGTAGACGACATCAAAATCCTGGAATACTCTATCTTCCTGTAAAGAATGGCCGCCTGCCAGCACTATAAAGGTGTCCTGCTCCCAGCGATCTAATTAGGTTTGACATGTGACCTGACAGACCTCTGCCCTACCAGTCCACCACCAGCCCAGCACAGCCACTTCGCCTTGTTACAATATAAACCGGCACTCTGACCGCGCCTGAAAGAGGCGAAAAGATAGAAATTCATGTTATGGAGACGAACCCGATAAGTCGCGGGAGATGTGCCTTCGTCTGAATCGTTAACACGCACGTGGAGCATGTGCCGTCTACTTCGCCACCGAGGCACTAGTCTTCCCACTGCACTTTTAATCCTCTGTGCATCGGAGCAAGAGACGCAGGTATTTCACCCATCTTACCGCCAATAAATGCGAGTCTGTATCCTCCAACGGTCGTTGGCAATGATATCGAATTGCACGGCTGTCTGATGATGCTACTGGCATGTTTGATGCAAGACGCTTGAAAAAGGCGAGGCTCCCGGCTACAAGGAGAATGGCGACACCGAAACAGATAGCTCATTAGTGTCAATTAACTAAAGAGCTACAATATAGGAGTTGATGGTGACACAAGGGACGCCGGGTCTAAGATCCCTATGAGAAGGCTGAGGATTTGTTTAGGTGCGCATAACTGCATCATTTCTCGTCTCATAGTACTCTGCAGCCTAAGCCCCGGTCTTGGCTTATTAGCGCTGTGTTGGCTTTCAGCCTGACTGCAGTGTAGAGTTGGTCGCCAGGATTCTTTAGACTAACCTTGTATGGGGCGCAAAAGGCCAACAGCGGGGCCTAGTGGTGAGCTAGAAAGGGGAACGTGGCGCATCATGAAGCCGCCAAGGCCAGGAGAGCTGTAAATGTCTACGAGAATGATTCTGCCCTGCTGAAGGGGTCGTTTTTGGACATTCTAAGGATGCCTGTTAAGACTAGCCTAGGTGGGTTCGATAGAGATAGAATACCCCTAATTAGCAACGTAATAGAGAGCAGCTGGCACCCTATAGACAAAGAATTACTGCTCACGCTGTTAGAGAGCAAGCGACAGGCATACGTCCAGCAGTGTGACAGGGAGATAAGTTTGCCGGCCATCTTGAAATCGGCATTGGCCAGCGAGGGTGCGTGCTGGCCCACTACTGACTATATATAGTTCGAACTACAGGACTGAGTGTCGCTCTCAGATTGTACTGCAAGGTACGAAAGGTACGAAGGCAGTTCCGAGTAATGCTGTTGGTTGGTGCTCTCCGTTTCTTTTAATCGTTAAGCAGGTTTTTGTAAACATCGGCTCTTGAAGCGGACTCTGACATGGAAGTAACACGATTTGGACGGAATGCGACGTGACATTGACAAGATGATCTTCCAAGTCAAGGAAGGAGGGCACCAATGAACATCATATCCTTGCGAACACGATGTCTGGTCGACCGTGGCAAGTGCACAAAAGGGATTCGATGAATCAGGAGCAGCCGGAGACCGCTAGGGCCTGAGGTGGCGCCCTGCTATGTACGGGGTATCACGATCAACGCAATTTCCCAGCCCACGAGAGTCACCTGTTGTCCGATACCCGAGCTGAGAGGTTTATATTGTGAATAAATATATGGACGCAGCACGGTTTCGGAATAGTATCATTTGAACAAACGAATGGGACTAATAACGCGCCAGCACGGCAATGAGGTCCTTTGAATTCAGCGCGACGCCGTTCTTGACCTCCTCGAGCACCTTCTCAAACATGTCCAGATAGCCTTCTCGCGTGATCGGCACGTTTGGCGCCGCTTTTTTGGCGGGCGGCATTCGCTCGGCTATCTCTTCGCACAGGATCAGATAGTTCTCGGTCCAGGCCTTGTGGTACGCCGGTGGGAGAGGGACGTGTTTGACTTGAACGTTATTGAACGTGTCCAGCTCGTTTTCGAAACTCTTGAGCCAGCTGGAGAAAAAGTCACGCTGTCAGAATGTGAATTTTTTGCGAAGGGGGGAGAAAGGGAGGAGCGGGAACAGTCGTAATTACTCGAATTTCGTTCCGACCATTGTGCCAATGTTGAGGATGAGGCCCATGAGGTTCTGGCAGTAGGTCGTGTTAATGTCGGGCCGTGGGGTTATAGTGGCCAGGGTGCTAGGATCCATTTCCTCCCATTGAAGCCATCCACCGGGCTTGAGGAGCCTGGTGACAGTGGCGATTAAGGGTTGTGCTTCGTTGTTCAAGACAATGCCGTTGAAGAAGCGAATATGCACGATGTCAAAAGTCCCCGTCAAATCCGAGGGACATTCGCCCGTCATGACATCCAGGACCGAAAACTTGACGTTGGCAGGAAGAAACTCGGGCGCTGGAAAGTTGTGAGCGGCAATGTCGAACCCTGTCAGCTCGGCAGAGGATGGAAGTTCATGACTGGCTTCGATGATCCATGCGCTTTGGACGGAGAAATTAGAACGTCGGGAGATCTGGAAGAATGTTGGTAGAAACAGTTACCCATTGCCGCAACCCAAATCAGCGACTCGAAGTGGTCGATCTTGGGGGATGGACGGATGGAGGACATATCCAAGAGTCTTTTGGACCAGCCAGTGTTGGAGGTAAAGTCTGAGCGACGTCGCATCTAAATCAGCCCTGAGAAGCTGTCGAACGGTTTCAATTCGCACCTGGTCGAATTATGAAAGTCGCGAGATTTCCAAAATTGTCGGGGATTGTATTCTGGAGTGGCTGACATGGTAGGCAATATATCACTTCAGCGGTGATTCTGGATCGATTGATACGAGAGCCAGCGGTGTCTGATAACATTCTTGCAGAGGTAATCACCAGTTGAGATTTTATATGAACCAGCGAATGCCACCAGGTGTTGTCGAAGAACGGCTGAGGTGCTGTTGGGGCATTGGATGCTGGTGGCCTGACATCTTAGGCTGTTATGCTCTTGCTTCATTGACTCGCCTGTCCCTGTCGGTGACGGTGTACAAATGCATCTGAGCTAATTCATCAATGAGCTTCAGTAACCGAATATCTAGACCCACTGCGCACCCCCGGGGATGGCCTGGGGGAGTGTACGAGTGGATGGCGAGGTGAACTGATGTCCGGGACTGTAGCATCGCTGACAGACATTTTACCTCCCAAATACTACGGACTCTCAGGACGACGAGCTGTTCTTCGTCTACCTAGAGCTTTGGAGCAGCTCACATTCTCCAACCGAGGATAAGGCACGACATGCGGAGAACCGTGGTGGTTCTGCGCCTGCAACCTCTCCTCACGCTGAACGTGAATCAGGGGCGGCATACTCCAAATTCGCTCATCATCGTAGAAAACATGGAGAGAGATGGCGCATGGGGTCTTCTCTGAGGGTTGGACATAAAGATTTAAGTTCGGTCACTCTCTCTCTCTATATAATCTTACAACAGCCAGAGACCGTGCTCGTTGCATCACGTCCTGTCTCCGACACGTAATTCTGTGAGAAGAGAAGCCTAAGAATCCCATCAGAGACGTGGGAAGGCGCGTGGAATCAGCAAGGAGGGGAGAAGAGGAGCCAGACAATATGGCGGCAGCACCAGAGAATGCCATAGCCTTTATAGGCAAGCATCCCTTTTCCTCAAGTCTCGATGTACGCACCCTTGCCAACGAAGCTCAGGCCTCGGCGTGATGGGTTACAGCATGGCCGTCAATCTGCGCACCAAGATGTCCAAGGACATGACACTAGTCGTGGGTGATGTATCTCAGGATGCGATATCCAGATTTCAAGCACAGATGAAAGACGTGGGGCCGGTGGTCGTCGCGGCGAACGGGTGCGAGGCCATTCAGCAGGCTGTAGGTATTGTCTCGACGTCGACATGTGGCCCATTAGAATTGATGAGCCTTGACTAGAACACGATCATCACGGTCCTGCCTAATGACTCGGCCTGCAGCAGTGTCTATCTCGATCCATCAACAGGGATCCTCGCTGGCGTCAAGCAAGCAGATCCTTCCCAGATCAAGGTCGCCATGGAGTGCGGCACGATGAGCCTCGAAATCATCAACAAGGTCCGGGACGCCTCGTCACAATGCGGACTCACCTTCGTCGACAGCCCCATCTCGGGCGGACCGCTGGGCGCCAAAGCGGGCACACTTACTATCATGGTCGGCTGCGACGAGGCCGTCTTCCCAAAGATCAAGCCGCTGCTCGAGCACATGGGCACCAGCGTGCGGCGGTGTGGCGACGTCGGGGCAGGCACCGCTTTCAAGACCATCAACAACTACATGTCCATCAACAACGTCCTGATCGCCAGCGAAGCGCTGAACATCGGTGCCAAGTTGGGCCTCAACATGGAGGATCTGATCGACACGGTCAACTCCAGCAGCGGCATGAGCTGGATCACCCTCAAGAACAACCCGGTACCCGGCATCACGCCCGGCGGCGCCGCGAGCAATGGATACAATGGCGGTTTCCGGATAGAGCTGGGCCAGAAGGATTTGACGTTGGGAGTGCAACTGGCCAAGATGGTGGGTGCGAGACCCGTGCTTGCAATCGAGACGCTGAAGACGTTGGACGAGGTTGCGAGTGACCCTAGATATGCCGGCAAGGACTTACGCGTTGTATATAAGTGGCTGAACGAGCAGTAGCCTGATGTTGGCAAGTCGCTTCTTGATGGCGTGCCGCTGGAAGAACTCCATAGACCTCATATGACTAGATCTCAAGTTGCTGATTTCAACATGCCACGTCCGAATGTGGGAAATACCTGACAGAATGCAACCGAAGATCTGGGCATCTAAGGATGCATAGAACAGCCGAAATTGCTGCTTGCTTTGTTCTATTCTGCCGGCACGCAGTGTGAAGTACGAAATGGGATGATGTTTTGGTAGTGTTAAAGCGGCGAACAAAACGGATCAGCTGAGTGGAGGTGCCCCAGAGATGCTCTCGGGGTCTTTTGCCGCGAGGAGGATTTCCGATTCCGTTCATATTCAAGCTCCCTCCCATCAAATCCCTTTTCCCTCATCTACCACCTCCGACACCAACGTCTCTCCACCACCATGTCGCCCTCCAACGCCCCGTCCCTGCGCACGCTCTACCGCCGCCTCCTCCGCGAACTGCCCCCGACGCCTCAACCGCGACACACGCTGCCGCGAACGCCCATCCACGCCTCGATTCGCTCGCACCTGTCGTCCCTCCAACAGCAGCAGCCACAGAAGGAGAACAAATCCGAGCAAATGGCCCGACTACAGGAACTAGAGCAGTTTGTCATGTACCTGCGCGCGCAGCGCATGTACGGCACGCTGCTACAGCGGTATAATCCGGGCATGGGCATGGACGAGGAGGAGAGGGTGCGCTTGACGGCGCGCAGGGTTGGTATGGAGATGCCAATTGAGTATGAGTGGAAGATGAAGCGCTGAAGCAGCACTCGCTGCATGGGACATCGCGGGGAGACGTGGAGCAAGTTGTCTATGCGAGATTCCTGGCTGGGCGGAGTGAATGAGAGTGGTCGTGGTGCAGATGGTTGTCTAGACTGCCTCGCCGTGTTAAGAGTTTCCATGCTATGCTGGCTCGAAACCTCCAGCGGGGAGGGATCCCTGAGCACTCAACCGCAAACCACGACTTTTAATGTCCAAGGACGTTCCCTGGTCGTTATACAACTGCTGGTTGAAATCACGGGCACCAAGACCTCGCATTGACAGCCCACACAACATCCCAACCATGTTCACCTGGCCGAGCAACTCGAATCCAACAAGCAACAGTTTTCGAGCCGAAAAGACCATCACTCCGTCTCGCTGAGCTGTATTGAAGGGCTCCGACCAACTACCCTTCACCGTCAAAACAACGCTTCCCTGCCAGCAAACACTTCTCTCCATCGCAAAGGCCATCCATCCATGCTAGGACCTTGCTCTCCTCCCCAAATCTAGCGTGGTGGCGACGAGTAAAGGAAGATGTTATCATCAACACGACCTAGCGTTCACCGCTCATCCAGATGAGTCCCGCTTTGTTGGATGCATGCGTGCCAGCTAGGTACGTCCGCGTGCGACCATTCTCGCCCGAGTGACAACCAGAGGCCCGGTCGGCTGCGGCCGTTCAATCGCAGAGCTGAGCCATGCAAGGGGGATATGGTCTAAGAGAAAAAAAAATGGTGTATTCAGATAATAGAGAAGCCTAGAACCTGGAGGAGATGCCATACACCTGTCTAGACCTGTTCAACATTTAAATCTAGAGAAATGCTTTGTGTATTATCATCCAACACACCTAGCCAGAGAAGAACAAATGCTCCATATATAAGCAGAACCCTTCATTCTTGCCTCGATCTGACTCAATACGCCGAAGACGTCTCATATGCCAAATGACTGGTTCCCTCTTGATGCTCTTTGAGTCGAGCACATCCATTTCCCATCCCCATTCGGCCATGGAATGCTCACGCGAGATGTGTGCGGATGCTGCGCCGCCGCCCTTTTGTCCTTGACGCCCTCTGATGTTATTTCCCTCAAAAGCCGTCGGTCCGTTGCAACGAAACCTCCCAATTCCTCCGAAGCCTGCACTATTCTCTGTTCTTACAACGCAAAGCAATCTTGTTCATTGCGCAAATTCTAGTCTTAAATGGCGTGGCATTCTTGCACGTCAACGTCGACGAAGAAACCAAGATCGAAGGAGCTGAAATTACCGTCGGGGTCGAGGATCGTCGGATCAATGTTGGAGTCGTCCTCTACATCCTCGGCATTGTCGAACTCATGGAACTCGGGATCGTTGTTGATCAAAGGGAGAGTCCCAATGTATGGCGATGCAGTCATGAAATCTAGCCCACTTGCTGGCAACGAGGGTGGAAATGTGGATTCCTCAGGCATGAACGTCGCTACCGCTTCGTTGCCGAATCCATCTGCAACAGTCAACGAAGTCGACACGAAACCCGTTCTGTCGTCGCCAAGTAGACCAAGGGTTCTTTCTGGGAAAAGGCTTTCCAAAGACTGCACGGGTGCTGGCGAACCAGGCTCATTCCAAGAGCCAATAGTGTTGGTGATGTCCCAGATCAGCCCTGGTGCGGGGACTGTGCTGTTAAAAGAGTCTGCGAAATCGACTGGGTGAAGATTCTGATGGTCATTTTCGCTGGCCGTCTTGTTGGTTGGCGTAACAGTCTCCTCCACGGTCTCGCGGTTCGGATAATTGGTGTCAATTTTTGCAACAGGAACGTCTTTGTGCCACACATTCCACGGTTCAGTGGGTATCCCGAGGTTCTCGAGTTCTTCAACTCCTTGCAACCGTAGCCGTGTGATTCCCTCGTGAAGCTCCACAAAGACGTCTTCGTCGCAATCGCTATGAACCTCGGGCACGCTCTCTCCGTCTTTCAATTTTACTCGCACCCGATTAAGTTCATGAAAGTCGACCAACGTTGCAGGATTCTCCGGGCCCCTGTTGACGCAACCCATTTCGTACGCCTTGGAGAACCACTTCTCTGCCACTGAGAAGTCTTCAGCTCCCTCCCAAATCCATCCGAGGACTTTCATAGCACTCACGGTGACCCAATCTATGTCCTCACCATCTAGCTCCAAAAGTCGCAGCAAATTTGTTCTTCCCTCCTTGTCAAGATCGTAAGAATAATGTAGGTATCCGAGCTGGAACAGTATTCTCCTGCAAAAGTAGTGTTTTTCGCCCAATCCCTCCACGGCACGTTACAGCAGCCTATGCCAGCATTCCGAGGCTGTATGGAAATCATCACGCCGGGACATGGCCATGGCCATAGTAAACTCTAGTTCGAGGAGTTGTTCGGAATCTGACTTCCATTGTCTTTGGGCAACGTCGCGCATTATGCTCAACAGCAACAGTGGTGACATTTTCTGCGTCTCGGGGATTTGTGCCACCTGTAGAATCATCGAAACGGGATGGCTTTCTCCAAGAAGGCTCCTGGCTAGACTGAACAGATAGGAGATTATCCTCCTTGCCGCTCGACTAGTAACGCTGTCATATCATTATATGCGACCATGAAATATAACAGGAAATCGGGGCACGATGGGTGTTGTTGCCGCAGCACCACCGACGCCCGACTGTGAAGATTTCTTATCGCGGCCTGAGCGATGTCGAACGCTCTCACGCGAAAAGTAGAGAGGGCGTCATTGATCGCGTTGAAGAACTCTTGCGGATCCCACAAGCTTGATATGGTACAATCAGGTCCGTCGTTGGCTATCTGGTGTAGGAAGTAGTCGTCACCTTGATTCAGTAACCAGCCGTAGTAATTGTTGAATTGAATCAACGCCAACTCGAGATCGTGCATACCTTCAGACTGCTTCAAAAGGATCCTTGGCATAGTCGGTAGTCGGCGTGGTTGGCCACCCTTTGCCTCGCCAATTCGATCTTGGAAGTTGTTCAGGATGTGCAGATAGGATTTCTCTGGAGCAGAGTTGAGGGTTTTCGAGCTCCGCAAAGGGTTGTGAGCAAACAAAGAGCTGAAATGGCGCTTGACGCGTTCTGTTGGAACTGATTGACCATCAATAACTGCCGTCGGCATTTTCAACCCGGCCTGCACCAAAATGTCGAGAATTCTTGCAACGGCAGCCAGTTCTTGCTTTTTGAAGTTCTTTCTTGTCTGCAGCTGCTTCATACGAGTTTTGCACATAGATAGCCTTCCAAAAGATTAGCGAGTAATGCGATATATGGGATTGTCGCCTACCCTGCTTCGAAGTTGTGTTCTCGTGCAAGTCTTGCAGATACCTCGGACAGGGGAAGCTTCTCATGGATATATAGCTGGTGCCAATGTTTGTGGATGCGGTCCCATTCCACTTTGCTTGGAGCCCGCTTTCGAGACTCCTTGGACTGTGTCAGAGCCATGTCATCGAAGGGTTAACTGGGTGAGCAAACGGGGACACTCGTAAGTTCAACCCTAGCCTGATTGAGATCTGGAACTGGCTGCAAGACCGTAGTAAAACAACGGAGGTCGTAGGACAAGATGCTACACAGGAAGAAATGATATTACATGGACATGAATGAGTTGAAGTTCGCCTAGAATATATGCGTACCTTGATCACCTAGAAGCTCATGGCAAAAGTCGTTATGAAGACGGGCAACCACGCTCAATCAGGCAAGACGGACAGTACGCGGTGAGGCTGTCTCATCAATGTTGGAAGAACTCGTGGTCTTGAGCACGGCACAACAACTTTTGTCATGGCCAATCATGATTGAACGGTCCTCGTGTTCAGGCCGCATGGTCACCAACAAGGAAATGGAAGAGTGTCGGCGAGTCCCAAGGGAGCTGCATCGCCTTTATCTCATGATTGCGGTCCTTATACAAGGATGTAATTAGGTGGAAAGAGAGCGACTTGAAATGGACGAAGGTGCCTGCGAGGACTGGGGTTCCTTGACGGGCCTAGCGCATCATTTCATTTCAGGACTGGCGAGGTAAATCGACAATGACGGTAATTACCTCGCACGCTCCATAGCCGCCTCCTCCGCACGTTTAAACTCACCATCTCACCTTCTACTAACCGCTGTATTCCGCCTGATAGAGTTCTCGATACCAAGGCTGAGAAAGGCTGAGCCAGGCTGCGAGATGACATTGGCGTTCTCGGCGGTGTCTCGGACTAGAGCCGTGCGCTGGAACAGCTAGGCGAGGGAGGTGGTTTGCTTGCCTGGGCAGTTGTTCTGTTTGATCCCTTACCTACCTATGTATTACCGAGGGAACTTGGGTTTCGTCTACTTGCGCTCGGAAGAAGGAGGACGCTTTCCGGGCTTTGCGGCCAGTTTGCGCTGTACTTCTGCCAGCGCATGACGTCCTCGAGGCGTCGTCTGTGGTACAGGTCGTTTGGAAGAACGGTCGAGGGTCGCACCTCGTAGTAGTCACCGGGGCCTTCGGGGGGGGTCAGCATAGATGATGTCTGGCACTTCTCTGTGGCGAAGGGTATCCATGTCGCGGTGGGATGGATGGTCAGGGAAGAGCCGGTACGGGGCCACAAAGTAGCGGTCGGCTGGCGTGGGAGGCATAGGTGGCATGGCCGCTTGAAAGTCGCCGGGAAGGGAGTGCATCTTGTTGCAAGAATTCAGCCGGATCGAGCGGGATGAATTTTCGTATGCGTTGTCGTCGAACACAGGCGATAGTAATGGAGATGATTTTTTGGTGGGGGGGAAGCATCTATGTACTCATGCCTGGTCAGGAAGCGCAGAATGGCTCATTTGGGAGCACAGCCCCTAGGCTCACGTATGTACTTGTAGGTACAAGTAGTTTGCCGTGCTCTCACTCGCAATTCAGCCTTGCGAGTCTCGTGACCACGCAGCAGCCAATCATCCTGATTATGCCTGCATACGGAGTATTTATTCCTGAATTTCACGCCGCAAACGAGTCACAGGGGATCCGAGTCGTTACGTCTCCGCTGTTCTCCTGGTTCGCTTGCCTGTACTTGTAGGGTGTGCTCTGAGGTGGTATTTGCTATTAGATCGAAGGCCAGGCTGACTTGGAGCAGCGTTACACAAGGCTCCACATGCGTAGGCCCGCTAACCCCAACTAATAGTACCTGGCGGGCACGGCGAGGACGGGTGATCCCTCGCCTATCTCACGCGAACCGGGGAGAGGAGGGAGGCGAAGGGCCGCAGAGCTGGGTGTCGATTTATCACGTCTCGGCCCTCGTCGTGATGCCTGGGAAGGACGCTGTGCCTCGAAAAGAACCCAATGGGAGTCCCTAACGGGGAGCTGATAGACACTTCATGTTCTCTGAGGGGGGGCAAAATTTCAGCTTGGCCATGCAATAGCCTTCGTTCAAAGCTCATGACGCTGCGTGTGAGAGATACGTGACAAAGTCTTATCATGGGGTATAAGCAAAGTAGATACACGTATAGCCGTTCATGCCAAAAGAGCAATAACACCCGCCAACAGACCAGCAGCACTGAGGATGAGTTCACCACCTCGTCGTTTCTGACCATTGGCGGTATTCGTGGTTCCGGCACTTGTCGCAACAGCGCCGTTTGACTCGCTGCTTGCTTTGTTCGTTGTGCTGGTCGTGAAACTGCTCCCGGCAGTGCGTGTCGTTGACTCGCTTCCAGTCACTGTGCCAGGCATGGTGACGACTCCAACTGAGTCGATCGTGGCTGTTGGGACGGTGCTGCCTGTGGCAGCTGGTGTTGGGATGACAGTCGCCGTTGTGACCAATGTCACTTGCCCAGTCCCTCCACTTGAACTCTGATCATTCTTGCTCCCAAATGTCAACCCGGTGATCTGGTCAAGGGTGTTCCCATTTCCAACAGCCAATATCTTATAGCCAGATCCCGAACCCTGTATGGAGCCCGCCGGCACCGTGTATGAGCCAGTGTACGAAACGACGCCAGTTGCAATTGTCAGATCTGTGCTCGAATCGGAATTGGTGAGTTTGAGGTCAATGACCGAGGGATCAGTAAGACTGAGGGACCATGAAATGACCACACTCTTGCTGGGGTCGATCTGCGAGTCTGAGGTTGGCGAGGTGAACTCGAGAGCAAGAGAGGAGGAGAAGAGTGTCGCCAGGCAGGCTACAAAGCGCAAATGCGAGCGCATCGGCGGGGTGACGGTTGTTCGCGGTCCTGTCAGGAAACTTGTTGGGTCAATGGCGACACAGCGTCTGTCGCTGGGATCACTCGCCGATGTTGAACAAAACGAGGGTGGGCGCAGCTAGCAACAAAATAATAAAGAACGGACGCACTGGACGATAGCCAAATGCAGCACACAAGACACCTCCGCTCTGTGATAACCGCAAAGAGCGTGCACGGTGGAGGAATCGATGGAGGACGCGAAAGGAGAGATCGCCAAGGTGGAACAAAAGGGAAAACACAGGCGTCATAAGGCCCGCGAAAGCAATCAAACAGTTAAACCCCTGCAGAGGCTTGTATCTGCATTGGGAAGTTGGCGCTGACTTGGCTTTTCCTCTTGCGGCTTGTCTCAATAGTGCACCAGCGCCTCATGCACGCCTCCTAGGACAAGAGAACGAGGAACAAGCTGAAACTCAGGCTAAAAATACCCACCTTGAGAGTACTGTACAGTGGCTCGCTAGGTACTCGGTACCCAGCAGGTACCCGCGCATTCCGGACACTCCACCCAAGACATCACCATACATAGGTATGCTTCAGCCTTGTGTTGCTCCGGGGGCTCAGGTACAGAAGAAACACTCTGCGAGGCAATTGGAGAGGGGGGCCATGACGATTCCCGAAGAGCCTTAACAATAAACTCCTGTCAAGCAATACATCGTATATGTAAATGATAGTTTACCAGAGGACAATTTCGTTTCATAACAAGCCGGCTTGCAAAAGAATCCCGTCTTGTAACCAGACCTTTCCAAAATGTCACCACCAGCACCATCCTCCGAGCTCTACAAGTCAATTAAGCTTCCACCCTGCTGTCCAACCGGCCGGCCTGCGAACGGGTTGCCGTTCTGCTGGCCAAACCCGCCCCCGAACCCACCTGCTGGGCCGGTTTGAACCGGCATTTGTTGACCAAACCCACCTTGTCCTTGGCCAAATCCGGTAGCTTGCGCTGAAAAGAATGGATTGGTACCGGTTTGAGCGGCACGGAGGCGATCGAGACCCTGTCCAGCCGAGTTGACAAACGTTCCTGGTGCAGTGTGTTGAGCAGGAATACGCAGGTCGCCTGTGTTCCCAAATGTATCCTGTCCTTCTCCCGAAGCCAGCAGGGCATTGAGTTTGGCGTGTTGCGGATTGACTGGCTTTTGAGGTTGCTGGAAGGTCGGCTGCGGCGCCGAGTAATTCAGGATTGGATTTGGTTGTGAAGGCTGTGTAAATTGCGTAGTTGGCTGCGACTCGTACAGAGTGCCCAACGAAGGCTGGGTGCTTGGCCGCGCGAAAGGCGAAGGGGCCGGCTGCTGTGGCTTTTGGGCGAAAGGGTTGTTCGACCCGGTAGGTAACGGTTTTAGAGCATCGGGGACTTGAGGCGACGGATTGGTCCAAGGATTGTTGGTTCCAGGCTGGAGGTTGGTTTGTTGAGGTGATTGTACTCCAAAGAGATCCCCAGAAGGCTGTCCGCCATACGGATTGTTGGTCTGAAAGGCCGTCTGCTGGGGTTGAATAGTATTCTGTTGCTGCAGGAATGGTTGTTGGCCGAACTGATCGTATCCTATAGGCTGGGCAGGCTGAAAGCCACCGGGGAAGCCATTTTGAAAGCCTGTCTGCTGCGGTTGGGCATACTGATTGTTCAAGAAGCCGGTGCTCTGCGGTTGCTGTTGCAGTGGGTTGCCAAACCAATCTACGGCGGGCTGCTGCTGGTAGCCCTGGTTGTACCCGGTCGGCTGACTCTGCGCTGGCGCTGGTGCGGGAGTATCGTCGAAAAGTGAAGAGGCGTTTTGTTCCTCAAGCTGTCGGGCGCGCTGATCCGCCTCTTCCTGGCTAAGCTGGAGGGCCCTCAGGTATGCTGCGTCATTTTCATCAGAATCCTTGACTTGCTGCACTTTTCGGGCTCTTTCTTGTTCTTCCAGCAGGCTTTCTTGCATGGCTTTTCGGATGTCTTCTTCTTCTCTCCTTTCAAGGGATTCGGCGTGTTGGTTTGTTTGCCTTCGCTGTGGATATGTTGGACCGGCAATGGCCTGAGGCGCATACTCATCAATTCCCGTGACACGCGTCTTCCACAATTTCCGATCGGAACGTTCGCTGCGAAGGCGGTCCTCATCCAGAATGAGTGAAGTCAGTTCTTTGGCAGATGTTCGGACTGTATCGATCAGCATGTGCGATTCCGGTAGGTGATGCGATGGTGCTCACCATTTTGTCCCACATCTCTGCCATCTTCATCAATGTATTGAAACTCTCGCAATGTCTTGATGATGTAGATGTTCTTCCTGGCCCAAGTGACCACCAATTCTGAACCCTCGTGCAGACAATAGTCAAGAACCTTCAACGACTTCAACACATGACGCCAATTCTTGCCCTTGTCGTTCAGTCGCTTATCGAGCATATCCATGATCTCGTAGAAGTCGCCCGGGCTGTACAGGGGTCGTCAGCACAAGTCGCGGCCTTCTCGTTAGCCGGATCTTACTTGTTGAAGGTGAGGGCTGCAATTTCAGCCATGTCTGTGCCCGTTGGGCCCCACGGATCGTTGGATGTAGCTGTTTTACATTGATTCAGCATTTGAATTGAAGTTTGATGGGAGTGAACCCCTACCATTTCGCACCTTGACCTGGACGGGACTGTACCCCTTTGTGACATTTTTGACGCTCCTGACTACTTTCGACATACTTCCTCCTTTTCTGTAGATGGGCGCAGTTTGCAACGATGAGCCTCTGTAGATATTCTCGGGGGATCGCTGGTGGCGGGAGTCCTCGCTGAGTTCGTTGGAAACTCCGACAATGGTACGGCGACGGGAGGGCTGGTCCCGAAACGAGCGGCTAGGCGTCTCAGTGACCGAATAGCTGCGGCCGGTTCGATCGGTCACTGTGCGCACAGTGGGAATGTTTTGGTAAAGAAGAGGCGAGGCGAAGAATGCCAGATTGACGAGTGGGTAAGGCGCACGTCTGAAGAAGCCTCAAGGTGTTAGGTAAGAACAGACAACGTCAGGTGGGCGGCAAGGCAAGGCAAGTGCCCACAGAGCCCACAAAGTCTGCGCCGGTGGATGCCTATGCTTTCCTGCTTCGGGCGAGCTGGCGGAAGCAGAGGGCTGCTGACAATGATGACTATCGCCCAGACCTGGCTAGCTGGTGAAGGGAAATGATGGCGTGGCGCAGTTGCTAGGCGCAGTGGCTGGTGATGGAGAACAAGCAGAACGAGGTCCACTTGATATGCAAATGATTCCTTGATCCCTTCGCAAGCAATGCTTTTTTCAGGTCAGAATCTGCCGGCGCAATCGAGGCTGGAGGAGGCAGCAATGGCAGCAGTGGCAGCAGCAGCGGCGGATAAGAGGAAGACGATATGAAATACTATCAAACACGCCTCTTCGACGAGGAGGAGGAAAAGGTCCATGTGACAGGCCGTTAGTGTGCTTTTTGCTTGTGGCCTCAGTTGGCGGCCGCGTCAAGCTTCCCGCTTGGCAGCTTGAGCTCGTCCAACTCCTGTCAGCGATGAACCGACACTCCCGAAGCACCGCATTGACCGTCTCGATAGTACAATTAAAATGCCTCGCGCAATCGACAACTGACTGCGCCTTCCTCTCGATGCCGCGGCTGAAAGAAAGAATCGACGGAAACCATCTCCAGCCCGATCATCGTCTTCCTTCACTTCCGCATCTCCTCGACAAGCATCACTTTCGCATGCTTGATATCCCGTCCCCCCATGTGGTTCCTGATCTGACTGTAATACTTCTGGAATGCTTCCGTGTTGGCAAACCCCAGGTGTTGCCCCATACTGTCCCAGCTCGTGAAGAGGACGAACTGCTCCTGTGGATTCTCGCCTTCGACTGAGGGGTCGTACCCTTTGTCGATGCGCCAGCCTCCCACAACCTGCCCCTTTCCCCACCCGAATGACTTCAGTGTCTGTCTGTTGTCTTCAAACGTAGCTTGGAATCTCTCCTTGTCACCGTCTTTGACCGTGCATCGATCAATTGCGAGGACTTCTTGATTGGGCGGCAGTGACTGCGTGTTCTGGTCGATATCCAGATGGAACATCCAGTCCACCGTGACCTGGTCTTTGAGCAGTGCCAGTAACTCTTGATTCTGAGAACCAGGAATGAATTCGTGCATGTGGAAGTCGACCGACGGCCACGATCCCAGAAGGAAGATGACATTCGGCTCTTCCACGCAGTGGTAATACCAGAATTCGAAACCACTGGCCTTTTCCATCACATCTTTTGCTCTGGCTAAATTGGCACGCAGAGATGGAGACGAGGCTTTGGTGCCAGACTGCAGGCTGAGTCGTGCAAGCTCGGTGACTGCCATGATCAAAGGTGAAATAGAACAGAACTCGTACTAAAAAGACAGGCGATTGGAAGAAAGAACACCTAGGTATGCTTCGATTTTCATGTCGGGGACAATACTCTGTATTTACATTGCGCCCACAGGCCTTCGTCACCTCCCTGCTGCCTGAGGCCCACAAAGGCCAGACCCCATCGCTCAACGTGAGCCGGGCCTTGCGAGGAATGTACTATTATCAATTAGCTCTTCCTCGATCTCATCTGTCGCATTTGACTATCTTGCTTCTTCCGATCTAGAGACCGTGCACCGCTTATTCACTTTTGACGCGCCCCTTTTGATGTCCTCGTATGTACAGTCCATCGTGTAGTCCCTCCTATACACAATCTCATGACACGTAGCCCTTCGTCAGAGCATGACTACGAGACAAGACATCTAGCTTCCCTGTACCGAGCCTGGCGTCGGCTCATAGTAATGTAGAGCACCTTTGGCTTTGGCACAGGAAGTGTTTGGGCTCGTGGCATTGACTGGGATGGAATTACCGTCTTGAGGACGTCCGACCACCTAGAAACGCACAAGAGCCGTTAGCAAACAGATCGAAGCAGGATTTTCTCGAAGCAGGAGCTTTTTGAAAATCTATCTTGGAGACCACTCGGCTCCGTCCCAGGAAGAGCACTTACATGCATGTAGTACCACACTTCGCTAATGACGGTGCGGCCACTATCAGTACTATTTGCTGCAATTCCCGCTGCCGTGGTATTGTATCTAGGCCCGCTACAGCCAACGTACGGCACGGCACCGTACTTCTTCGCCAGCTGACCTTGAATTTGACTCAACGTGTAGGTCGTGCTGTTGCTGGGAACGATCTTGGCCTCGTTCAACCACTCCCACGTCGGGAGTCTCTTGTAATACTTGATAGCCGTCTGGAAGAAATCCAACACGTCTTCGTGTTCGACGTACTCCGGCCCGTAGCAAGGGAGGTCGAAGGTCGAGTAACAGGTCGCGTGCTTGGAGAATTCGTGGCCCCAGAAATCGTGGTTCGGGCCGCCTTGGTTGATCCAATATTTGTTCATCCAATCCAACAGATCATAGCGGCCAAAGGGCTCGAGGAACGTGCCTATGTTGGGCCCCGTGTAAGGAGGCACCACGGTGCCGTTGGGCAGCCCGGTCGTGGTGTTGGGCGAAGGGGCAGGATCGTATTGCCGTGTTAAATCACAGTACTGGTCGTACGAACCGTTACACAGATCGGGCCAAAGTCCGTGAAGCGTAAAAGAATTCGGTGGTAGCTTTTGGCCTTGAGCCTCGAGACCAGTGTACGTATTCCAAAATTGGGTGGAGAGCTGGAGGCCACCATATGTTTCCGTACAACAGCTGTCGACTTGGTCGGGTGTGGCCTGTGCGGAGCAGGAGAGGACAGCGGGCTCTGACAGTTGAAGTTGGTGAGATCATCTCCTGCACTCTGGGGAAAGACAAAGAGCTGGAAGATGTGGCCAAAGCAGATGTTCACTTACCAAGGATACAGGTGTGGTTTTGATTGCTTTCACCGTAGAGAGAAGCTTTCACTGCGCCCGCGAGGGCACCAAAAATGACGATGGACCTTATTGATGCCATCTTTGGATTGGTTGTTAAACCTGTAGGTGACGGGAACAAGAGGTGATAGTGAACAGGTCAACGACAAGCTCTCGCGGGGCCAGAAATTCAGGGCAAAAGGCAGCTTATATACCAACTTGCATAGCTTCAGCAAGTATCCAATAGCTCCTAGGTCGCTCTCTTGCGTCGACCAGGTCCGCAGGAGAGGTTCCCAAATCGATCTCGCATCTGCAGAAATCCATCATGCTCCTCACAAAGCGGACGGGGTCTGAATGGGAGAGCTTGAGCTTTTGACGAGTCGCAGGGCACGGTTGAAGCACCTGCACACCGGAGCTCGAGCCTGGAACGTGAAGAGGAAAACAGTTCAAAAGCTCCCGGGCAAATGCAAGTAATCAGTAGGGTAGCACTATAGTGAGTGCGAAAGGTGCCTGGAAACAGAGCTTTTGGTCGCGTGCACGACTGATTGGTAGACGGGATAACGAGGTGGGAATCGTGGGAAGCGAGGATGAGAGACAAGAGGTTGCAACCTGAACGTCCTCGGTCGCAAAAGGCTTGAGTGGCAAAATGGGCTACTAGGCCGCGGCAGATGCTTAACCACTGGCTCGGATCTCGCCGCCCTCACAGAACAAAATAATATCAATGGGCCAAGACCGAGATTGGGCGTGTGTCATGCTCGGTCAATGGAGGTCCCAGATGCAGAGTTGATCTATGGCATTCCGACAGGCTGGTACAAATCAATAACGACGGAGGGAAGCGGGATCTCCCCTCATGAAGAATTATATATTTAATCTCCGCCGAGTCCAACCAATCATAAGAACAAAGTCATTCATCCGGGCGATAGTCGGTTTGTCCGAGCATCTCCTGTCCTTTTGGCAGGTCTGGCGCACTCGTCGTGGTTGGCTGTACGGGGGCTCGACTGGCTGCGGCATTGAGCCGTTCATCTAACGCTTTGAGGGCCAGAGCGCGCCGTCGTTCGGCCTCTTCTCTTTTGCTCATGCCTCTTGTTCCACGTGCGTGTTTATTGAAACTCGGAAGGCCAGCTTCCCCTCGGGCAGCTGCTTGTTCATTTCCGCTCGCAATTTCTTCGTCGGAGAAAGGTACACATATCTTCAGATTGCATAGTAGAAGGTAAACCTGGTTGCAAAATGCCGCAATCGGCGGTTGGATGGCATTGGGAAAGAAGGTCGCAAAGGCAAAAGTTTCGCTTGCATCGCCCTTCAAGCCCGGGCTGTCGGTTGTGGTTCCCGACATATCAGGCTGACGCTTGTAGAAGCGAAGATAAGTCCAAGTGGTGATCAACCCGTACCAAGCGAGGAAAAGACCAACGTCGGTTCCGATGATTAGACCAGATAGGGTGTTCAGTGCGAGGAAAACTGCTGGGAAATGCTTGACCCGCATCTTGATCATGCCCTTGTATATGCTGACGGTATGTTCGGGGACCAGCTGCTTGAAGGCAACCAGGAAAGCTGCTTGGGTCGAAATGCCGCCAGTTATGGGAGTCATGGCTCTTTCAGGGTTGCCAGTAATAGCGCCCCAGAGGATGTAGGTCGGGACCATCAGGAGGTTGGGTATTATAGACGAAATCAGAATAACATAGACAAAACCCTGCGTTCCCCATGCTCTTTCAAGGTATTTCCCGCCAAAGAAAACATTGATGCCGTTAATGAGGAGAGTAAGGATATTTTGTTCGACAAAGGTTGCGCTGAGAAAGGTCCACGGGTACCATATGCATTGCGCAGGAACCAAGGCTAGATATGGAACAATAGGTCGTACGGGGGGATTTGCCGTTGTCGCATCGCCGAGGCCAGCATTGTCTGTCGACAGCCTCCATCGAGCAATGTTGTAGAGGAAGGATAAGGAAATAAGAACCCCAAGCAGGACTCGAGTGACGGGAGGGAGGTTGATGCGAAGTGCCATTGCGCGCGATGATCGAAGGCCTCAATTACATCCTGTCGCTGTCAAAGGAGACAGCAATCCTGGCGGCCGGGGAAGCGCAGTCGAAGTCGGTCTCGAGAAACGTATGGAGTATGATGGTGGAATTGTGATGTAGGAACACGACTCCAAAGAGTCTCGGAGAGATTTGGCGGCGAGAGCAGAGCAGAGGCAACAGGGACCAGGAAGTGCCCAGCCTACTAGCCGCTTCTGATTAACACACTGGTGACACTAACTACAGTGGGAGGAGACTGAGTTGCTTTGGGTCATGACCAGGTGAAAAATATAAGGATGGATTGTGATACTTAGGAACAAGGCAGAAGGAGGATTGGGTGGTGGTTGTCGAGAGCTGCTGTAACAATTGATTGTGTTTGTCCCTCATGACCGACAACCACCTTGTTCACAGTCGTACAGTGGTTGTGGTCACGAGATACGTCGATGCCTAACTGGGATGAGGTTGAGGAGGAAGATGTGCTTGGTAGTGGATCGAGTCACGATCTGCCTGACGTGTACCCTGTAACGGGTACATAGGAGGTAGGCTACCTGTACTCGGTACGGAGCACCTGTACTTATAGTTACGGGTAGTTCGTTGTACGAGCAGATACAGCGTTCGTCCGCCCCCTCAAGTAAGGAGGGTAGGGTATGTATGTTGGCCAAGCTGGTTAAACCTGAAACTCGCACACAGCGCTCCGGGCGATTGATTGGTTCCAGGTGGAGGGTCCCTGGGGTTCCAGGTGGGTGTCAGGGCTGCGGTGCTTGGCTCTTGCGCCGAAACCCACTAACGCCCCCCCAAAATGGGCTGCAGGCCCAAGTGCTGCCACACATCCAGGCGCTACGAGCCTAAGCAGCCAGCAGCCTATTCTCTCGGTTCTCGCCCCGTGACAAAGTGACAACCTTGCCATTCATTCCATCCATCCATCCATCCATCGCAAAACTCATCTCCATCACCAACTTTTCACCGAGAACCTGGTCAAAACACGTCGCCAGCTTGATCGGTACGAACTTCAACTTTCTTGTCCCTTTCAAGCCTGTACAATTCCCACGTCGTGGCCCTGTGTCAATCCCGTTAATACCTTGTCTAATTATTTGTTGCGCCCTGCTAATAGCTTGCGCTGTCTTTTTCACTCACCCGTAGCCCATCTCCATTTTCCCACGCGCAGTCCAACGAAATTGGGACGAGCGACATCATCATCCTGCACATTATTCGTTTTCTGCAGAATCCTCCGTCCGATTGACTTGTCATTTTCGATACTCCGTGCGGTGAACGGCGACTTGCTGGCCAACGCTCCCCCAAATTTGGTCACGAAGAGAGACTCCCTGCCGGACTTCAATTTGAGCGGAATGTCGGCATGGAGACCGACGCTCCATCAACATTCAGCGCAAAGCCACCTCCACTAACTTCAGACCAGCTGAACTATCTTATATGGAGGTGCGCACATCTGCTCTTCTCTTTGATATACGGTGTTTCGACAGGGACTGACGAATTTTCGCAGATATCTTCAAGAGTCAGGTAGGGCCGCGTTCCGGGATCCACCGCTCGCTGCACACCACTGACCCAATCCTAATAGGCTACGCCGAGGCCGCGGTCAAGCTTCAACGCGATTGGAATGTCGAGGCAGAGAGCCTCCCATTTGCGAAATGCGTCAAAGGCCACGCCCTGGTTTCTCTGGTGCAAAAGGGTCTCCGCTATCACCACTTATCGCTGACGATTGATGAGGTATTCAATCCACTCATCTGCGGGTGGGAATTGCGCTCCCGCTAACCCGAATCTAGAATGGCCGGCCCTCGAAACAGCTCGACCCATCCATGTTCTTCTTTGGTCCCGAGAGCGAGAAACCTCCGCGAGAACTGCCCGAGGAAGTCGTTCTTTCAGCACCTTCACCAAATGGATCTGTCGCTGAGCCCCGAAGACAGCCTCGGGATGGCATTGCGAACGGTCTTCACGAAGCCCTGGCCGCACAGCCGGCCCCCAAACGAGGCCGCAAAACAGCACCCAGTTCGGAACGCAATGGAAGCGTTGCGCGCAAACCTTCAACATCTGCCAATCGACACAGCCATGTCTCCGCGATGGATGTGGATATGCTGAACGGCCACCTCGTCCCCCTTACCGATGCGAGGTCACCATCTGCCACCGAACCCGGAGCCGACGAAAAGGGTCTACTTATTAATGGTGTGAAGGCTGATGAGCGCATGGATATTGACGAAGGATCACCAGCCGCAGATCACCCCAACCACGAACCACATATTGAGCTTGTTCTACCCTCCACTCATACGCTAGCTACGGGGCAAAGCATCGGTATCCAAGTTGCTCCTGCCAAAGTGGCAAACCTTTCTGCATCCACCACCATTCTTCAAATACCTCCCACTACCGGCCATGAGACATCCAAGCCCGTTACGCGCGTTGCCTGGCGGCCCGGAGACGACAAACTGCTAACAGCCATCGGCGACGACTATTGTGGCTTCTGGAATGTCGCCGATCAAGCTTCAGATACCAGTGGCCCAGCTCACTTTCAAGAGCTTCTAGAGTCAGGAGAAGGGAGGCTGGTAAGTGCAATGGCCTGGGAGCCGAATGGGGAATTGCTTGCGGTGGCAACATATAGCGATCACTCAACGCAGATCCACTTATTTGACGGACAAGAACTTTCTATGCTGGAGGCGTTACCAGCCTCGCAAAGGGCGATTACGTCGCTACTGTGGCACTGTCAAGGCTCACGTTTGCTCGGCATCGCTCCCTACGACTCCGACACTACTGACCCTTCCCAACCCAGTGGTTCTTCTATACTACTCTGGGACCTGTCCAAATTGGACGGCCTTGCCGAACCTTCCACGGTGCTTGTCCCTGAGATTCTGGTTGACGTGGATGGCGCATTTTTTGGCGGAGATGGCGTTGTCTGCGCCGCTGGGCAGAACGCTGTCTACTATTGCCGAGCTTTTACAGATATTGGAGTTGAGCAGAAGTGGACTTCTGACCCCGATGATGCCGACCAATGGACATTTATCAGATGCGCCTGGCACGGAGAAACGGACGCCATGTTGGTTGTCGCGTCAGCCGAAACTGGGACATTGTGGATGCCCGCTCAGAACATTGTCAAGAGAGGGGCACATGATACACCTATCACGGGTCTAGAACTTCGACCTCGCGTATCTGGTACATTGAATTCTTCGTGGAGGCAAGAGTTTGCCACTTCTTCCATGGATGGGACTATCAAAGTCTGGAAATGCGACGGAGAAACCACGTCCATCATTTCAATATGCAAACTCATTATTGGGCACGGCTCGCCTGTCATGGCGCTGTCATATTCTCCCGATGGTTTCTGTTTAGCCGGAGCTAGCTACGATGTCGCTCGCATCTGGAACGCCGAGCATGGCCACAACCTGATGGCAACTTGGAAAGACGAACAAAATATGTGGAAAGGCTCAAAATTGAAGGATGATGACATGATGAGTATGGGCGGCATATCGAGTGTTAATGGCGATACGATTCAAACGAGTTCTGAGCACACTTTGGTATGGGATGGCCAGAGTAAAAGGCTCGCCTTTGGCCTTGGATCTCAGGTAAGCATTGTCCCAACTGCTCACCTCAAATCGTGCTATGCTCATATGTTTCAGGTCGCTCTCATTGAGTTCCAGCGGTGACCATCTCACTCCCCATGGCCAATGTCGACCGAACTCAACAATCCGATGTACTACTAATATTTATGACCATTAATATCCAGGGTATTGGAGCGGTTACAAGAGTTACCGGCGCGTGTACTGGATGATTGAATGCCATGGTCAGAGGTAAAACCCGGGTCCGAGAAAATGAACAGATGAAGCACATTGGAAGCAATGAAGACATGAACTATTCAAGGTTGGGCTATACCAACTACCCTTGGACACTCATTAATCATGTTCCAGTGGCTGCCTCAAATTCACCCCATTCATTGTCGCTGTCCTCCCGAACAGTCTCGAAACCCTTCGCACGAGCATATTTCCCTGCGCTCTCCGAGGATCTCAACTCCTCCTCCACATCGCGGAACCCTCTAAGCCACGCCGTGACACCCTCCTGTAAGGCCCTTACGTCGGAAGCACCATCAAGACCATGATAGCCTCCCCCATCAGCTGGCTCATCCACATAGTATCGTCCGCGGAATCTGCCTCGGCCTCTGGTAACTATTTTCCGTGAACGAGAAGTACGGTCTGGTGTTGGAGAACCATTAATCCATCCCTCTAAACCAGACACTGCAGTCGACATGGCTTTAACCGCTGTCTCCTTCTTGGCCGATTCGGATTGGATCTCCCTCAGTTGGATATTGAGGCTCTCGTTCTGTTGGCTGAGGTATTGATTCTTCTTCCTGAGGGTCACGATCTCTTCGGCGAACTCTCGCACGCGGCATTCTTGTTGAATACACCGCTGCGCGATCGCCTCGAGCTTTTCGACAGTTAATTGATGCAGGTGGCGTTGTTCCTGCTGCCTCATGCGCATGGATTCGACGGTGGAAGTCAGGTGCGTGCGGATAAGTTCAAGATCGGTGTCTGTGGCAACCGATGTGTGCGGCAGAGGCGAGGGCACGGATTGACTTCGGTGCGTCGTCTCAGAATCGCTCTCTTCGTTGGACAGCGGTTCCTCCTCCAATGCAGACTCGATCTCGGCCATGGCTCTCTTAATCTTCCGTCTCTTCTCGCCTCGAATCGCTCCATCCTGTTCGCAGGCCCAAATCTCAGAGACCAAGCCATTGAGGCGGTCGGCAATCGCGGAACCATCATGGGTTTCGTCAGGTTGGGAAGAACTCGATTCTTTCTCGAGGGGAGCTGGTGATCGGGTCCTCATACTAATAGCGGAGTCGGCGAAAAGAGAGGTGTTGGTCCAGGCTGAACTGGGTCGGGTTGGAGATGCAGTGCTGGCGTCGTCAGGCTGATTGTCGGCGAGCGACATATTTGTTTCGAGTCTGGAGATAGTTTACGAGTAGATGACATGTGCGAGTGTGTAAATAGAGATCCGACTTGGATTACATTATTGTCTCGGGTGTGGCTGAAGTTCAAAGAATGAGCGCAGCCTGCCAGCTCGAGCGGAATACGGGAAGATTAATTGACTGACAGATGGGCAAAATGCGCATGTGCCACAGTTGTTGGGTCGTGGCTGGAGATCGAGTGGCTGGCAGGCTGGACAACGGAACGTGCAGAATGTGTAGAATGTGGGGGGTGAAACTGCGCTTTCGGTTCTTCCGAGGATGAGCCGAGTACGGCCGGTGCAGACAGCGGTGACTCCTCGACTGCATGTTCCATCTTCCTCTTGCTTACCGCAACTCCTCCTGTATCTCGTCAGTGGTCGTCTCCGATAAATACCTTGTCATCAATGGCGGGCCTGAAGGTCTGACGGCTTCGGTCCGATATGTCCTATTTGTCGACCGAAATTCGATAATATCCCACAACCTCTGGTGATTACCTCCATGGTACTTCTTGCTCACACGACTCTTTCCACCATTTGCCATGGCTCACATATTCCAGGCGAAAGTCCAACCTTCCCTTGAGGAGGTGTCTTCCATCCTCTCTAAATCTCAAACCTCCGAATTCCCTCCGAATCTGGTGCCCGTATGCGCTCAAATCCCCGCCGACCTTTTTACTCCCACACAAGCATATCTAAAGGTGTCAGAGGGTTCCAAACTCTCGTTCTTGTACGAGAGTGCTGCAACTACAGGGACGATCGGGCGGTATAGTTTCGTTGGAGCGAACCCTCTCAAAGTCATCGCATCCGGCCCAGGCCATGGACCAGAAGAAGATCCCCTTCCACGCCTCGAGCAAGAGCTTTCACAGTACAGAGTTGCGACTGTGCCCTCCCTTCGACTTCCACCTTTGACTGGAGGAGTCATTGGATATGTTGGTTATGACTGTGTCCGATATTTTGAGCCCAAGACGGCTCGGCCTATGAAAGACGTTTTGAAGCTGCCCGAGAGCTTCTTCATGCTCTACGACACAATCGTTGCGTTTGATCATTTCTTCAACGTCTGCAAGGTCATTACTTACCTGCGGGTACCGTCATCGGAGTCGTCCCTTGACTTGCCGGCAGCGTATCAAAAAGCATGTGAAACACTGCACAGGACGATTTCCCTGCTACAGGCGGAACACATACCTCTGCCCCACCAACCGCCCATAGCTCTGAACCAGCCGTCGAAATCGAATTTTGGCAAGACAGGATATGAGGCGCACGTCACACGGCTTAAGAAGCATGTGTGCAAAGGAGACATCATTCAAGCCGTTCCTTCCCATCGGATATCCCGACCCACGACTCTCCATCCGTTCAACATTTACCGGCACTTACGAACCGTCAACCCGTCGCCGTACCTGTTCTATATCGACTGTGCGGACTTCAGCATTGTTGGTGCGTCGCCAGAACTGCTAGTTAAGGAAGAAGCCGGCCGGATCATAACCCATCCGATCGCCGGCACTGTAAAGCGAGGTCAATCGCCTGAAGAAGACGAGCGTCTAGCTGAGGAATTGAGCAACAGCATTAAAGACCGTGCCGAACATGTGATGCTAGTCGACCTGGCCCGCAATGACATCAACCGCGTCTGTGACCCATTATCTACCCGCGTTGACCGATTAATGGTCGTAGAGCGATTCAGTCACGTTCAGCATTTGGTCAGTCAAGTCTCGGGCGTATTGAGAGAGGGCGAGAATCGCTTTACCGCTTTTCGAAGTATTTTCCCTGCCGGCACTGTGTCGGGGGCGCCAAAGGTGAAGGCCATGGAACTCATTGCAGAACTCGAGCAGGAGAAACGTGGTGTATATGCCGGCGCGGTAGGTTATTTCGGTTTCTCTCGCGTGTCGCTCGACGGATCCAAGGTTGAGGACGAAGGTGCGATGGATACTTGCATCGCGCTACGCACCATGGTAGTGAAAGACGGCGTTGCATACCTACAGGCCGGAGGGGGAATTGTCTTTGATAGTGTCGAAGAGGATGAGTGGATCGAAACAATGAACAAGCTGGGAGCAAATATTAGGACCATTGAAGAAGCGGAGAAAAGGTACCTAGAACTAGAAAAGCTTGGAAATGGGAAAGCGAATGGGCAGGCAAACGGTGTCGCCATATAGACCAAGTGTACATCTAAGCTTCAAAATACCACAAAGTTCACGGCGATCCCATCATTGGCGAAAATTCAGAAGAGCATCGCTGGTATTGCAACCCAGCATGGTAAGGCTGAGGATTGTGTATCGCCCCGGAACCGGATAATTGTTCTTACGTACATACTAAGCCGCATACGGATTAACAGGATAAAGCTTGGCAAGAATTCGCACAGAGGAAATTATCATCGCCTTTTCTAGGTTTTATTGACCCTGCACTCAGGAGCGTCTACAGCGAACACTTCTCTCTTAGCCTTCGACAATTCTCAAACGCTGATACCTGTCAAGGCTTTGATCAGTCTTGACGGTCCTCATCAGCCATATTGTCGACAAGATGAAGTTGAATATTTCGTACCCGGCCAATGGGTCGCAGAAACTTGTCGAAGTCGAAGATGAGCGCAAGCTGCGCGTCTTCATGGAGAAGCGCATGGGCAATGAAGTCCCCGGTGACAGCTTGGGAGATGAATGGAAGGGCTATGTATGGTCACCTTGTTATCCTTGCTCTTGATATGTTTTGGATGAAGGGCGCTGACGAGCTTTTGCGCGAAAACAGATCTTCCGCATCACCGGCGGTAATGACAAGCAAGGCTTTCCCATGAAGCAGGGTGTCGTACGTACTACCGTCCCTTAGCTTGGTGAAAGCGCCAGCGAATCTTGACAAAGAATCCTCGCTGAGACTTGTTCATAACAACAGATGCTCCCTACTCGTGTCAAACTCCTCCTTGCCGACGGCCACTCCTGCTACCGACCTCGACGAACCGGTGAACGTAAGCGCAAGTCTGTCCGCGGCTGCATTGTTGGTCAAGATCTTTCTGTTTTGGCTCTTTCCATCGTCAAGCAAGGCGAGGGTGAGATTCCCGGTCTCACTGATGTGGTCAACCCCAAGCGCCTTGGTCCCAAGCGAGCCACCAAGATTCGAAGATTCTTCGGCCTGAGCAAGCAAGATGATGTCAGGTATGTGCCTCCATACAATCTACTCGGCATTACACCGCCACCCGCCAACACTGTTGTCTTACAGGAAATTCGTCATTCGTCGCGAAGTCGTCCCCAAGAAAGAGGGCGCCAAGCCATACACCAAAGCCCCCAAGATCCAGAGACTCGTCACTCCCCAGCGCATGCAACACAAGAGACACCGCATTGCCCTAAAGAGAAGACGCGCCGAGGCCGCCAAGGACGCTGCGAACGAGTACCATCAGCTACTCGCTAAGCGTGTGCATGAGGAACGTGAGAAGAGAACCGAGTTGAGGAAGAGACGGGCCTCCTCGATGAGGAAGGAGTAGCCAGCGCCAAATGTGCCGTCAAGATACTGTTTCCACAACAACTTCATGCACACTACTCCAGACCACTCATGAAAGTTGAACAATGCCAGCTCGAGTCATTGGAGACAAGGTCTGATGCGACGTTTACGGGAGATCAAAAAGCATGAAATGTTGTCCAAGAGCCCAATGGCTTGGGGACTAGGGCTGAGGAGAAGCATGGGAGAGGGTGGATTGTGGTGTGGTGTCACGGAGCGATTGATGGAGAATCAGAGGCCCAAGGTCCTGTCTTGCAGGCGCCGTCGGAGACATAGATCAGGTGAAAAGCGCAGCTTGCCAAAAGAAAAGACGTGACCTGGCGTATGCTACTCTCCGTTCCTTCGTGCCTGTTCTGTCCTTTCTTTTTCTTGACACTTTATTTCGGCCTCCTGACACGTATGCAAACCTTCCCTCGATCGTCTCATTCTTCCAAAGACTCGATTCCAGTTCAGCGCCCAGTTCTGCTCGGGGTTTGCCGCCAAGTCACTGTGGTTCAAATTGCTTGACCCCGAAGAGCCCCGCCAACCAGAGGTTCTGGTTTTGTGCGCCGCCCGAGTCAGTTTCGCGGGGGATCCTTATCCGTCGCCGTCAAATTTTTCGGTTCACGTTGGACTTTTTAGCCCTATGCCAGACTTAAATGTTCCTCCTGCCCTCGCTGCTGCTCTCCAGAATGCTTCTTCGGTGACCGCATCTCCTCAGAACTTCGCTGAAGCCATGGCGTCAAACTCCATCAAGCTCCTGACTGGAAACAGTCACCCCGAGCTTGCGCATGCGGTCGCAAGAAGGTATTTGCTGTATCCCACCATCTCAAGGATGCATCGTCAGGTCATCTCCTGAGAAGCTGACTCCTCGTTGCCGTATCTTAGGCTAGGTATCGAGCTCGTCAAGATCATGGTTTTGCAATACTCGAACCAAGAGACCAGTGTGACCATCGGCGAATCGGTCAGAGATGAGGATGGTATATAATCCCTTTGCTGCGCGACTGTGTTTCCACAGCACACACCCTCCATTTGTACTCGGGTTTTATCTCCAAAAGCCTAATGCATGGTGAAACAGTCTTCATCCTTCAATCTACCCGCCCGAATGACATAAACGACGGCCTTATGGAGCTCCTCATCATCTGCAACGCCTGCAAGACCGCCTCCGCCCGTCGGGTCACTGCGATCCTCCCGAATTTCCCCTACGCTCGACAAGACAAGAAGGACAAGTCGCGTGCTCCTATCACGGCCAAACTTATGGCAAACATGCTCCAAACAGCGGGTTGCAACCATGTCATCACGATGGACCTGCACGCTTCACAAATCCAAGGCTTCTTCAACGTGCCCGTGGACAATCTCTACGCGGAGCCGAACAGTGTGAAATGGATTCGAGAAAATCTCATGCACGCGAGCGAGTCGGGCGTGGAGATGAACGGACCCAGACAAGAGTGCGTCATTGTAAGTCCCGACGCTGGGGGTGCAAAGAGAGCTACGTCCATGGCCGACAAACTCGATTTGCCCTTCGCTTTGATCCACAAAGAACGATCGCGACCAAATGAAGTCTCACGCATGACCCTGGTTGGTACGGTGAAAGACAAAGTTGCCATCGTGGTGGACGATATGGCAGATACCTGTGGCACGCTCGCGAAAGCGGCCGATACGCTGATCAAGCACGGTGCGAAGGATGTTGTGGCGCTGGTCACCCACGGTATCTTGTCGGGCAAGGCCGTCGAGACTCTGAGAAACTCGGCGCTGAGTCGATTGGTCATGACAAACACTGTTCCGGTCAGTGAGGACAAGATCGAAGGTCTCAGGGTGCCCGAAGGCCAGAAAGGATGTAGGCTGGAGTTTATTGACATTGCGCCTGTTCTTGCGGAGGCCATCAGACGGACGCATAATGGTGAAAGTGTGAGTTATCTGTTCAATAACCCGGTGTCATAGCCTTCAGGCTACAAGTTGAACGTAGGATGGCGGCGGCAAGAGTCGTGGCATGGATGGATGGAGCGTTCTGGGACTCCTCGACCACCAATGATTTGAGATGCTAGCGACGACGAATGCTGCTGAACGCCTGAGACATCAAGCTTCCATCTCCCTGAAGACGTTGATGCCCCGATGGATTACCTATTTCAGCCAGTTTGGAAGCCAGTTCCTACCTTTCGATCGCTTCGGAGACAGAATTTCCAAGGCCAGCATCTGAATGGATTTGCCGGAAGACTCTGATTAACAATATTCGAATTCAAACTTGTACCTTCCTGAGGCGATTTGAAACAGGAAAAAACACCAAGGGCCGTTGTCCCTTCCCGACCTGGACATCCTGCCCTGGCTCAATGGGCACCTGTTCGCTCGAGTTGGTTTATCGCACTTTGAGCGACAATCGTACTACAACCATCCACTACTTGAGTCCGGGGCGGGGGTGTACGCAGAGGGGGGTCAGAGAAACAAATGGAACGGCCTCGACTTGAGGAGAAGTCGAACAGATGGAGAAGTAACTGGGAGGTGCAGGACGTTTAGATGCTCTGATGATACGTATGTGTTCTGTGGACAGGTAATTTAGACAGATTTGAATGCTTATGGCTTCCAGGTGGGCGTTGGAGATGGCTGTACAAGTTTCAAAGATAGTCATTTGACTTAATAGAGGCAGTAGAGGTACGGAATATATTCAGGGGGCATGTCCGGGGAAGAATGATCCCATCCAGCCCATCCCATCACTAACAAGAGGATACACCAGTGGCGAAATGGGTTCAGCCCGCCCCCAAAAATAAGCGTCTGCAAAGGCAGAAGTCGAGAGCTTTGCTTGAGGTACCGAGTACCGAGTACCTCCCTGTTAACATTGAGTTTACGTCCTACCAGCTCGCTATTCCACGCACCACAAGTCAACGGAAGTACTCGCTTACATACTTTGCCTAAGCTGACAGAAGGAGACGCCACACACACGAACGTCGAGAAGCCCCCCGCAGTCAGTCCTCTTACAACAGGTCACGGCGAGACACAGTAGAGGATGTTCCCGACTCAAGAATCGGTATGTGCTCGTCCTCCAACTGCGCTCCCATGGCCATCCTCCCCTTGGTCACACTCATTTATTCACGCGGCGAGAGTTTAAGGGGGACTTGAGCGCAGTGATGGACAGGGGGCCGTGCCAGAACGGGAAGTTTAGCGCAAGCAGCAGAGCTCTCCCGGGCATGCTGGAAATCGGATTTTACATCCAGCAGAGGCCTCGACCTTGGAAAGATCCTTGACCTTCCTCTTCAAGATAGAGGAACTAGACGGGGCCAGCAGAACCGGGGAACGCCTCTTTATTCTAGTGTCTTGAATCACAATGCTCTCCAGGACTCAATGGCCAGATCCATCCCACAACCAGCCCCAAGGGTTCCCATGTTGGTGACACCAACAAATGTATGCGTGGGAAGTTCAGCCATGTAGACTGAAGCCACCAATGAAGATCACTCCTCGTTCAGAAATTGAGATCGACATGGGATTTCGAGATTCCCATAGCCCTCCAGAATGCCAATGCAGGTAGCGGTAAGGCTGGGCTTTAAAAAGCTGCCCTGGGCGCTTCTCTTCTATGTTGCCTCTTCAGCATTATAGGTTCAGAGAACGAGAACTCCCAGTTGTCCTGGTCTTTTTTGGTCTCCGTCAGCGTGAAATCCTCTCTACTCTTGATCTCTTGGTTGGTTGCGGCTGTCGCAGCGGCAGGGTCTGTGGGCTCGAGTGGAATCTACGGATTACTCGCTCCTCTCAGCGGACATGCCCCAGCTCAGTCTTATTGTTCCAGCCACTATCCACCGTCCACGGTGATTACTATTGTGACACTAGTCAGCTCAGCTTCGGTAAAGGTCAAGAGATATGCAAAGACCACGACGACAAGAACAACGACAGCAAAATCGACGACAACCTCCACAAAGTCTTCTTTCACAACCTCTACCAAGCCATCTACGACATCCGTCGATCCCAAAGCCGCCCTCTTCTCTACCTTGTTGTCCGAAGCAGGTGCAATAGTCTCAACTCTCTGCTCCTGCATTGAGAGTATACGGTGAGCTGACTCCCACCGTGACCTGAGTGCTTGAAACTGCTCTCGGTCTTTAGAAAACTATGACAACGTCTAGTACGACGACGTCGACTACAACGATAACGACATCTATGATTCCAACGACTACCCCCACGACAACGACTACGACTACAACAACGGTAAAGATGAATCTAGCGCTCTTTCTTATGAGCATCAAAGCTGACTACCACAGACGACCGCCACAACCACCACATCCTCGACCACAAACGCTGCTCCATCTCCTGTCTGCTCAGAGTAAGAATACTCCCACTCGCTGCTCCAGCCCCCACCCCATACAAACAGCCTCCCATCTCTTTTTCATGCTCTGCATCATATTGATATCTAAGACATCCTTAAATGATCCGCGAGGCCCCAGCACATTCAACTGACTTTTCTCCTTAGGAACCTTAAAGCCTGCACTGGCAGCTCCGACTGTATAAGCCTCGACGTCGTGACAGATTGCACCTGCTATCCGCGCGTCTCGGGCTGCGGAGCCGGGGACGGCGTCTGTCTCCCAACAGACCAGACGGGAAACAACACGCCCTGCACCGACGACTCGAACTGTCCGCTGCTGTCCTACTGCGGGCCTACCACCAGTGGCTCCTTTTGCTACGCCACATTCCCGGCCTGCGTTGGTGAGGCTCCTGCGAAGCGTATGTTCCGCAGAGACCAGGATGGTATGAGCAAGGCGAGGCACCGGAGGAGGAATCTAGTAAGTGGGGTCCAGTATTTACGACAACGACTTTGTTTGCCATTGCCAGAAGCAAATATTTATATTGTCGTACTTGTAATAATAATAGCGAAAAGTACTCCCCATACAGGCTGTATGTGATGCCACACCCCCTGCAGACCTTCTAGAAAGTGCACCTCAGGAGCGGCATTTGAAACACCGAGAAGTGTCACACGCAGATGATTGATTGGTTAGCATTTGTTCTATCCTGATTCCTGAGAGATGTCTGTCTATCTATCTGCCCGTTTCAGCGATTCCCATTCCTGTTGACACATATAGACATTTGGCCTGTGTCTAGGTAGAGGGCCATATCGAAGACTCCGTGTCAACGTCATCCGTGATGGTGTCGTCCTGAGCAAGATAGTCATGATATCTCTTGGTTTGTGCCGTTACCCCGTCTGTGCGCGGGGCATTGATCGCAAGTTGCCTTGTTAGCCCTGTGCGCTGTTGATCTAGGTGGTGACCAAGTTAGCGGCCCTGATAATCGATATTCCTCGCAAGGCGCTCAGGCTCGCCGTCATGTCAAAATCCCGAGGCCTCTTCGGCCATTTCATACGCCGTCTTGTTTGTTTGGGACCTACCTGGCCCTGTGCACGGCCCACCGACTAGCCCACCAGCCATACCCTGTCCGCTGTGCCCCTGCTATTGTTATGCACCTCTCCCCGTTCTCTGCAATTGTTCATCACGTGTTCTTGTTCTTTCCATTCCTGGCCAAAGTTGTATGGGTTTCTTCACTTATTATCATCTCGCTGAAGATGGCAGGGCGTACGGGCCGGCCCACTGTCGTGCTCTTCCCATCTTTTGCCGAACAATGATGATGGCCTTACTCGGGCAGGCCTCGTCTTGGAGCCGCCGGATGCCAGCTTACCAATGCCCATGTCGCCGTGTATGACCGCGCCTCTCTCGCAAACCACAGGTGCCATGAAGATGGGTCGCACCAGAAGGGAAAGACGTGGTCCTGGACAACGGAAACCTGCTCGACAGATACTAGTGGCGAAACCCACCTCTTCATTTCCCCAGTCACCGTGGAGCTCTGCTTCGGGGCTATAGGCTCAGTGACTCTTGCGCGCTTAGGGTTGTAGGCGAACCCAAGAATCAGAACGTCGTCATCACCCTCGTCAGAAGATTCCACTGTGTACGGGGACGAACTCATAGGCATACCGGATTGCGACAGGTCGTTGAGTTAGACGGCGTAAGGGCTTTGCTGACTCGCTTGACATAGTTTTGGAGGAAGACCGGTTCTCTCCGAGCTTCTCGTCCGTGGGTCCACGATACGTAGGAGCCATAAAAATCGACCCGAGGGTTTTGAGAGGGATTGCGACGTTAGAACACTGGACAGAGTATGCCGCTGGTATGTGTCCATTTTCACCTGGTACCATTCGTCCTGAGCTTGTTTCCGCATTGAACGGTATTCCTCTATCGCCTCTGGTCTGCGTGCGGTGATTTTCTGCTCAATATCTTTCGCATTTCGTTGTGGTGTTGGTGGTAAGCGTCCTCGCCGGGGCTGCAGGGGGAAGTCATAGCCCGGCGGTTGATGCAGATTGCAGACGAATCGGTCCCAGGACCCCGTGAGAAGGCATGGGTCACTTTGACAAACAGCTGCCATGAACATTCGGCATGATCCAATCCTATGTCAAAGGTATGGTGGCGGTAATTGACAAGACCTACCGATAGCATTGTCTTGTCAGTGATGATTAGGGTCTCCTCCTGCGGGCCAGCAAAGAGCAGCTTACAGATTCATACTAAAAGTATGCCAACACTCCGACGCTGCTGACTGTCTGTTGCAGCCGAACTCTCTGCCATCCAGATGCCGTGCCCCATGCCCCTGAAAAATGGGGGATTCCGTCCATTCGAAGACCCTTTGCATCTATACGATATTAGGGGCTTTGCAGGGTAGCAAATGTTCACTCTTGAAGTGCAACAAAAATCCAAGAAAGCAGGTTCGACCGGTGCGATCGCGAAGTTGCTGATTTATATATAGGTTGATTGCATCAAGTTAGGACAGGTGCAGAATGAGCTTCCCGTATAGTGGACTGTTTGTGGAAGGGAGTATGGGCACAGCCCTAACTAGCTTCGAATGAAGTTGGTCGTAAGAGATGTTGGGCACTAGACAAGCTTGCCAAATGTTGTAAACTTTTTACATGCCGCAGAGAGACTGGTGTCTGATACCTCTACTAGACAACGGCCTGGTAGGTCCGGTGTTTGATCTGCTAGAGAAACATCCTTTGGGCTTTGGTGTCGACACCTGCTTCTTCGATCCGGTGTTGGAACACAATATTGTCGATTTACGCCAGTGCATTGGCAGCGAAATTGTGATTTGGGAGCTCATGGAGTTGAGCAGCAAGGTTTTGGCACAGGCGGCGAGGACGCCAGTCTCGTGAGGTCGTTGAGAAAGGGAACGATGCCGACACAAACATTCATCGGAAGATCATTGGCGTGTCCTCTGGGTTCATGCGTCGATCCTGTGTAACGCAAGCAGTTTACCGCCCTTGCTCATCTGCGCGGACTTGGGTATTTTGCATGAATGAGACAGGCTCGGGCGAACATGGCCAATGAGCAATGTAATAGTGATGGTATTGGTTTGTCAGAACGTTGAGAGTTGAATGAGATCCACAGACAGAGACTGCAAGATAAGCGGAAGGGGAAAAGAAAAGAGAAGGAAAATCAGAGACGCCTTAAATAGGAGGAAGATGCGCGATTAAGTCTGCGGCTGACTGGCCGCGAGTGCATGGTAAAGAGTCCATTGGGAAGGTTAGCAGCCCGGTGATTGTTCCGGATAACTTGATCTTGACTCCAGCCTCACAGAACGGCTCCTCGACTCACTCACTCATGCTCTGGTTCCAACCTTTGTGTCACAGACCCAGATAAGGGAACATGAACCATCTATGCCCGCGTTTTTGTCGTGGTGGCTAGCTCCTCCTGGTCGACTACCGACCCAGCTCCATCGACGCCCAGCAAGGCTCCCTGCCAGCCAACCAGGGGAGACATTACCTAGGTATATGATTGAGTCTTTCGATGATTGGTATGCCGCAATGGCGCTTGTGGCAACGGACATTCCTTGCACAAACTGCAGACACAAAGAAGCCAACGCATGTCTATGAAACACTCCGACGGACAGCAGGGAGACTTATACAATCTCGATGTCTGAGAATGTATTGGAACAGGCGCTCTGAGCAGAGAAATGACATCTGTATCTCCTCTCTTGGTCGCTTGAGTGGCTGTCAAAATTCTGACAGGCCCTCGCAGTCGACGGAATGCGGTTTGCACACATTTCAATAAAGGAATGTGACAGATGGCACAACACAAAGGATCAGTTTCATAAGTGGTCAGCCATTCGCCGGTCATTCATTTCTAGTTTCGCCCCTTGGGTCATCTCAGAAGTCAAATCCCGACAGCTGGTTGTTGGGCTACAGGTTACCAATCTCTTCTGGTGCGAATCGAGCAGCCTTATTAGCGAAAAGGTTGTTCCATCCTTTCCCTACCTCAAAGCCTGAAAATCGTGCCCGTGGCGACTAATGGGACTATCCGGCCAATTGTGGTCGCCCCCTTCATCCCGGACGTGAGCAATGGGAGATGGTTCAGGATGGGACGATAGCGCTGAGGGGGGTTTCCGTGTCCACGAAGCTATCACTGAAGGTAAAATTATTGTTACCTGAACATGCCAGAGGTCAACGATATTCATGTCCGCATTTGCAGTCATGCTGCCAGGAACGAAGGTGGTGTCCGCGGAGGCTTATGGTACATCTAACTGGGCAAAGACGGCAAAGCTCTCAGTCGTTCTACCCGACGGAAAACGAAAGAGATTTTTCTTGAAAGTGGGTTTCTCTCTACCATGTTGAGTGATGATCCTCGCTGACAACTCACTGGTATCGAGTAGTGCGCTCAGGGGAAAGGGGCTCGAGCCTTGGCTGAAGGCGAATATCACTCCGCATCTGCCATCAATGCTGTAGTACCTGGATTGGTGCCCAGCCCAGCTGGATGGGGCGAGTATGGCATGGACGGATCACAAGTGTATTTCTTTCTGGGAGACTTCCACGACATGGAGCTCTCCGCCCCTCCAGAACCGGTCGACTTCACGGCTCGAATAGCCGAAATGCATCGAGGCACATCTCCAAATGGAATGTTTGGATTCCCTGTTCCCACAGTGATCGGCGTTATGGAACGTACAGTGACCCGGGAAAAGAGTTGGGCCAAATCCTTCACCCATTAACTGAAAGATGTCATTAAGTACGACAATGAGACAAACGGCCCGTGGCCGGAATATGACGCAGCTTGCCGCCAGCTTATCGAAGTCGTTATACTACGACTATTGGGAGCGTTGCAGTCAGATGGCCGTGACATTGTGCCAGCCCTGGTGCACGGCGACTTATGGGAACAGAACGTCGGAATAGCCATGGAGACGGGCAATACGATTGTCTTCGACCCTGGATGCACCTATGCCCATAATGAGATGGAGTTTGGCACATGGAGATGCTCCTGGGCGTTTCACTTCAATTCTCCAACGTACATGCGCCTTTACCAACAACATATCCAACCCTCAGAACCGGTGGAGGAATGGGATGACCGCAACCGACTGTACAGCATCCACCCCTACCTGACAGACTCGGCAGGACATCCAGGGAGTATGTCGAGGCAATTGTAAGTCTCGAACCCCCCTCACCCTGGAATGGGAATGACTAAACAATGTCCACAGAGCCTACAATGAGATGCTTTACCTGTGTGAGAAATATGGACCTCTCGAATCACTTGAGCAATATGACCCTGAGAAGGATATCAGTGTCACCGGCGCATATACCCCGTTCGTCATAAATCAGCTCGATGAAAACAGGGATCGCATTCAAGGTATAGAGGCAGTTCGGTAATATTATAGCTAAGAATAGGCATGTTGAGAGACTATTAAATGGGTACTCAAGACGGAAGGGGCCAGATTCGGCTCCCAAACTTAGCTCAGGGAGGTGCTTAGGGAATTACTCAGGGATACCTTCACCTTGGCCGATAGCGACCCCTCTGGATTCGAGTCTCCACAAATTTGCGAAGAGGCGAGTGCAACAAATCTAGATGCTGAGCTTGGTCTTCTCGGACATGGTGAGCAGATCACTCATTCCGGCATAGTTCTTCGTCCCCACAGACATTCCAAGGCATGCCACATAAAGTAGTATTTCATCCTTCCATCAGACTTTCATCATTCCTGATCCATGAATTCGTTGGCTCATTATACTGAAAGCCAGCTGGTGAGAGAGCCCGCTCCCATTGTGGCCATAGTCCTTCCGCTCTTGCGTAGTCGCTTGGAGATAACCCTCGACTGTCGTGAGAGTTTAGGCAGCATCCCACTTTCAACATCGCGAGCAGCTTGAGCCGTATCTGTGCGCTGCACATTCACGGCGGAGGCTCTGAATCGGAGGTTTCTGGCATGTTGAAGTCGTCAACGTCTCTTTCCTCACAGTAGTCGAAGAGTGCCGGGTCTTTGTCACCGTAGTCTTCAAACTAAATCGGCTGACTTCTTTTACCGCACCAGTACATCCTGTTGATAGTAGCAAAGTGTCAGAGTCATCGGAGAGAGCTTTGCTGTCATGGGCAGTAGATGCCACATCACACTCGTCGCCAGTATGGTTACCACCATCATCAAAAGGTATCACTTCTCGTATATTGTTGTCATCATCCTTGAAACCGGAAGATCTGCAAACTTCCATAAATTTTCTTCGAAGACTCGAACAGAACCAGAGGCACAAATGAAGAGCGCCTCGCCCTTGATTGTCAACGGCATGTATGTTTGCGGCTTCGGCCAGCGGGAGTTCCAGTGCTGTCAAAGACTGGTCTAAGGTTGAATGCCGCATAAGGCAGAGGCGTTTCCCCTCTGTTGTCTTGAGCCTCTTTGTCGTACCCAGCGCGGAGGAGCTCTTTCAACGCCGCTGCGACCTGGCGTCTTGTAATATCCGTACGATTTCGGCCACTAAGCTTAAATAGAGGCACACTCGGATTTTTGCGAGAATCTCCCGCAAGACATCCGTTTGCGATAGCGAGCTTTGCCATCGAACGACACGGATTTAGATTGGTTATATTCCTCATTGTAAAGTATTCATGCCCACATTCGGTTTGGATTGTAGCTTCAGTATAATTACTCTAAATGGCATCAATGAGATTGTATATATCGTGAAAACCGGAGATCTGAATCAGTCTCATTGAATCGTAAAAAGGATGAGGATGAGATTCGTACCATTCAGACTGGTCTGTGCTTGCTCCCCCTTCCAGTAGCAATCGAAAAGTCTCTGAGCAAGCTGAAAACATTGCATACTATTGCCATTGTCAGGACCGGCGAATCTAAGGATCGAAAAGATCTCAAACCTACGTAAAGGAGTGAGTTGTTGTCTGGGTCGACATCCTGCGGGGAGGCTTTCATATCTCCTATCAGCCTTCTCACACCCTCCAGATCGTTCATCGACACGGAGCTGATGATTTCGGAGCCCCAGGGGACGACATTGAGTGCTTGGATTGAAGTGTAAATCGGAAGTCGTTGAGAACTCCTGGAAATAGTGGGCATGGTAATGTAAATGCCGGTTTCTGCACGACTGCCGATCCTTGGAATGACGGAAACAGCGAAATTCACTGCATCATCGTCATCACTGACTGAGACTCCCTTTGGCATCCGATGCGGCTGTATTCGAAGTACTCCACAAGTCGTACACCGCGTGCTAATATCACAAGAGCTGATGAGTGTGGTACATATGCTTGGCGGGCTGCCGTCGTTCAATACGCTCTGGGCCTGAATTCATGACGTCTGTTCTTTGTGCTGGTCGCTTCTTTGTGATAATGGATGAATGCCGATGCAAGATGACCGACGAGATGCTCTTTGCTGTTGAACCCTCTTTACTGAAGCCTCATACGCCCAAACAGCGGTGTCATGTACTTTAGAAAGCAAGCCGTCGCTGTTTATCTCAGTAAATAACTCCGATTTGCCCATGCGATGCGATGTGATGTGTTTGTCTCGGAATGTGTCATCTTAGAGGCGATGGAGCAGATCCCTCATCATCTATGCAGAATGCATAATACTCTCAGGGTTCGTGCCGTAGTGTAACAGAGCTCGTTGAGACTGACAAGGTCTGGCAGGCTCAATGGCTACTTACGTAACGGGGAACCCATTTTAACTAAGTCTCTCAACCACCGCCTTTCTTCAATTGCCTTGTTCCAGGTAGAGTTTCTCTATTTCTGGGCGGAAGGCTTCCCATTCTTTGTTTCCGATGCGACGTGCTCGGGGATTAGAAGGTTGTTTAGCTTGGTGGGTTTGAGACGCACCAGCCATTCTTGACATTACCTAGACACAATGGCACCCGAAAATGTTTAAGAAGAAACCGGTCTTGATGATGGATGATTGCCGGGTGAAGAAATCATTTCCGTCAGGCTGAGAGGACTGATATGAAGCCAAATGTAGCGGCTAGCTACATCTGGAAAGCGCGGCACAAGTGGTACATATGGAAATGCCAATAAGAGCCTGACGAAGCCACAGATGGTACATAAAGAAGGGCCAATCACAGTCCACCTTCTTCCTAGGGGCTAAAGGGGGGCGCATCAGTAGCGGTCGACGATTGGAGGGTGGGCTCCCACGTGACTCTGGTCTCCTCCTGACGCCGCAAATGAATAATATAAGTGGCGAGCTTGAAAAAGAAGCTCAAAAAGTAGGTCCTGTGGCCCAATGGCAAGGCGCTTGACTACGAATCAAGAGATTGTCGGTTCGATCCCGACCAGGATCATTTTTCTTTTTTTTAACTGTTGTCTTCCATTCTATCATATGGTGTCTGCCAGACATGCACCTGCGTGCTGTCCCTATTCAGTAACTACATTGTAGCCAACTGATCAATCCATTCGGTTGACTCGCGCGTTAATTCATCGCTCAGGCTGCTCTATGCTCACCCCTAGAAGACCGGTGAGCAAGGCCGCTTATTTATTAATTATTTTTCTCATACAAGGGAAAGTTCCCCTTTTCATTTCAAAGAGACGAGGGCCGTCACCGAAACTTACGAGAAGCATCGCATTCCTTACGTCCTTCGTATACAGTGGCTACATGGTATCTAGGATGGGAGAAGTGTTGGACAGCCGGATTGGGCTAGTGGACTCGGCAAGGCCACCAAGGCCGCCAGCCTCGCTATGTCATCAACGGCCTACCGAGAACCGTAGAATTACCGATCCCAGAAAGAGGATGGACGGCATCTCTGACGTCCCCCCTTTTCCGCCATGCTGACCACTGACCAGATCTCACCTTCACTTCCATAGGCTCCGCATATAGGGCTGCTTGGGGGCAGAATGACCGAACCTAAACTCAAGGAAGGCTGAGAGGTCAAGACAGGCTGGCCCGTCATGTTCATCACCTACAATGACCTGGATGACATGCGGGACTCCCGCAAGCGCTCGCAGATCAACGCATACGTCAATCGCGGTCGAAGGGTCAACAAGGTCAAATCTTCTACACAACGACAGTCACGCCCACTACTTCAATGGCAGGCGCGACATTCCATTCGAACCTCCGCTCCCATCAAGGTCGAGCCAGAGCTATTGGCAGAGGCCAAAGACATCACCAACGTTCGAGAGCCGAGAGTTACCGAGGAAATTATTTACGCGTTGCTGAAAAGGCGACGTCTCCCAAGAATATCGCTCCACCATACCCTGGGTGGCCTGCGAAGGGATCCCTTCGCATCATTTCCCATCCCTCAGTCCGGACAGGTTGAATGGGCGGCCGATTTTTGTGAGTACCAATCCGGCAAGGTATTGTCGTCGGGCCAGATTCCTCATTCTTTTTTCCTGCCCCAAGCTAACGCCTGCTCAACTGTCAGTCCTCCAAGATTATGCCACCATGAATGCATCGCTATATTCTGACGGAGCAGGAAGGAATTGGCTCACAAGCACGCTTTTCCCACTGGCCCTGCAATCCGACATGCTCTTTGAAGCACTCATTCTTTCCATGGCAAGATATTCCCAGCCTGCCAGCACCAACGCCCTTGTGCCGGGCGGTGTTCACTTCGCACATCTCCGTTCGAGTGTTCTTGGGAAACTCCATCGGACTCTTTCTCAGGATAAGGAGATATCGACTTCGGACACGACCATCCACACCGTGATATGTTTGATAGCTGCTGACGTTGGTTGATTCTTGTCCTCTTTTGCTCGACGTCGACACTAACTAGCTGCCAGTTCTTTGCCGGTCACGATGATCATGCGGCAACTCACCTCAAAGGCCTTCAGACGCTCGTTTCACTCCGTGGTGGACTTGAGCATGGCAACTTCGACCGCCAGACAAAATACAATCTAGCAGGGTTTGTTTATAGTACCTATTGGTTAGCCGGGATGACTCTAATACCGATTTTCTCAGCACACATGCACTATGCTCATTTGCAGAGCAGCGACTACAGGAGTCGTCGGGACCGCCCGTCAAACCAGAATCCGAACTGACGTACCCAAAGCATCCATTCTCGCCACAACTGTGCACGGAGATTGCAGTCCTGCCCCGTGGAATCAGTGACATTGCCCTTGACGGAAGAATTTCAACGCAGATCATCGAGCTGCTCTGCCGTCTCGCCAACATGGCCCAAGAGACCCCATTGACCAACCGCGCCACGACGGAAGAAATCTACAACGTCTCGGTCGACTTACTGACCTTTACAACCCGAACAAATATCTCTGCTCTAGAACGGAGCGTCTGCGTCTTTTGCTGGCTGTTTGTCTTAAGGGAGACACCCAACCGGAACGAGAGCCAGAAGTTTTACGGACAGTTCCTCGAGAACATGCGACGCCGAATAAAGGAGCTGGCCCATTCGTTCATGTCGCTGGAAGGTGCAAGGCCCGACTACGCAATCTGGGGAGTCGCCATCCTCGTGGTAGAGAACAGCGGGGAGAGAATCGGTCTCACCGAGGACGATCGCTCTGAAGTCTTTCAAGACCTCGTTCGCCGCTACACTGTGGCGAGGAGCTGGAAGGAGACGGTTAAAAGCCTGAAAAGGTTTTTCTTCCTGGATGATTGGGTCGCAGAGTATCGTGTCTGGTGGAACAAGGAGATTGAGAGATATAAAAAGCGATCTCCAGAGTTCGAATCCATCTAACCGTTCTGGGTCTGTTGGACTGGCCACCCTACTCGCCAAACTGAGAGAGCGCCCAGTTCGCAGTTGAATCTCAGGGACCATCCTAGGTACAAGCTGCAATATAATGTGTCATGGTTATGACTGCCAATCTACCGGCATTATGGCTCAATCACAACAATACCGCCGCTTTTTCCCTGCTTCTCGGCAGTGTCGAATGCCTCTTCCCACTCCTCCAACTTGAACTTCGCCACGACTCTCGCACCCAGCGGGTTGACATCATCTGCCTCTCTGTGCAGCTTGACAAGCCCCGCCTCCACAAGGGCGATTAGCCGCTTCACGTCCGCGGGCTCGTACATCCACTTCCCCTTGACGGTGATGTCCTTATGCATCAGCACACCGTTCGGCAGGACGAGATCGTGATTGCCCCCACCCATGAGACACATCCTGCCGCCGTTTCTCAGCGCGAAGATCCCAGCCTTGAGATGTCTCGAGTCCGCAGCGGCGGGAGGGGAGATGTCGAAAAAGACGTCGATCGATCCGCCGAGACTCTTCAGCGCTTTCAAGTCGGCTTCCCAGTCTCCTGTGAGAGGGATGCACTCGACCCGGTCCCTCTTTTCCGGAGCGACAGCGCTCTTCAACTGCGCCAGGATCTCCTGGTTGCGCCCCATGCAGATCACCCGCCCAGCGCCCAGCTCAAGACACAGATGCGCCGCGGCGGATCCAAATCCGCCTGTCGCAGGGGCCACGACGGCCGTCTCGCCGGGCTTGAGGTCAATGCACAGGGGACCCAGGCCGCCGTAGGCCACCAGCATTTTGGGGATGTACATCAGATCTCCCAACTGGTAGCCGAGCTTGGCGAAGAGCCTGTCCTCGTCCAGCACGAAGCAGTTCTCCAGCGGCCAGCGCACGTACTCGGCGTAGGTGCCGTCGCGCCAGGCGTCGCGCATCAACTTTGCCGACGCGGGCGTCATGCCCTGGACGATGGCGCTGAGGAAGGTGGCACCCGCAGAACGATCGACGTCGTCGCGTCCCCTGATCGTCACGTCGAGCAGACATAGGTTGCCAACTTTGAGGGTCGTGGCATCGGGTCCCAGCGCGATCACGCGCGCCAGCGCACTCGCCCCCAGCGTCAAAGGCGTCGGGTACGGGTACTTGCGCACCCCGTTGTAGATGTCCTTGGTGTAGCTGATCACCGAGGCCTGGAGGACGCGCAGAACTGCGGAGCCCGGTGTCGCTTGGGGCGTTGGGATCTGTTGCACGGTCGGTGGCTGTGCGTAGACGTCTTGACGCAGGGCGCGGTGAGTGGGAGGGATGGACGACATTGTTGGTGATGGATATATATATATATATATCTGCTTGTGTGTGTATGTGAGTGTGCGAGTGGGTGTCTGGGTGTATCTCGCTCGGCGTATGTGTTTCGCAGAACACGTTCCTTCAGGTACCAAAATCTTCCTTCCCTGCGAGACACGGGTTGAAGAGGGGGTTTGACACAGTCTTATACTTGTCCGTCCACACCTCTTGCTCAACACGCTCTCTTTCCTCACTGCCTCCTTCTCTTCCCGCCAGAAGCCGCGAAAGGACCTAGGCATTTAGATTTAATTACACCGACTCCGCCCTCTCTGACCTGGCCATCCTAGCATCGTAGCATCCTAGGTGCATCTCAGCTTCACGCCCTATTTCGGGCGGCATCCTCGATCATTCAGCCGGCCACCCATCGACTACACTTGATGCGGCCTGATTGTTTGCCTGATTGATCCGTGGTCGATAGGGCCTCGACTATGATTGATCGCCCGGGGTAGACTGACAAACAGGCTTGCTGGGAAGGTTAACGGATACACCGAGCGACCAACTGGCCGACTGATGGACCGGGGCAGTTGATCTCGATCCCACACCCAAAGTGCAAACATATGCACACTCGTAATTACATCCCGCCCGACCTCCTAACTCCGAGGCACTGTAGTGGTGTGTGCCCGAGCCCTTCCCCCTCCAAAAAAAAAAAAGGCCAGCTTTCAGCTTTGTCAACTCACTAGCGATGTTAACGACGTTAACGACGTGGAAAAAAAGCGATATAGACACTGATCTATGCCGTTTCCGATAGATGCGGTTTAGCGCCTTCGCACTGGCGCGAGGCTTATTTTGCGGGTCCCACCAGCTAGTTTAACTCGGTACTTACTGGTACTGGGCACAGTAGTACCGATTGCACCATACCTACAAGTACAAGTGCAATTACTGGTAGATATGGAGCACTCTCGTCAGTCTAGCCACCGGATCCTTAACTCCAGCCAATCCGATACAACCCGCTACATAATGCTGGATGTACAGATCGGCGAGTTCGGGTGGGATGTCGGATACGGAGTCTCTGTTAATGATACGAGCATGTATCGTAGTTGCTCATAGTGCTGCTGAGGCTGGGGCCACGCGGGGACCGGACAAACGACTTCGCCCTTCCCCGGCTGGTCCTGCTGTGGCTTTTTGAAAGAACCGCGGCAGCAAAGCACTCCGTGGAAAACGCGACGACGACTGCGATGATGGACGGCACTGCGCAACAACATGTTGGCTCACGAGAGCCGGCGTTGCGCCTTTTCAACTCCTAATTGCCGCTCACCTGCGTCAAACATTGGATTGGTAATCTCGATCAATCAAACTGGTTTGGTTGTTAATATATCAACTTCACCTCCCACAAG